ATTCTACTTATGGTCCTGACATGAATACAGCTTGATTGACATACCACCACGTATGCAATATACGTAAGTATGGTTTATGCTTCTTGTATTTAACTCGGTAAAAAAGCTTATGCATGAGCAATCTAAGCTCTGTGCAACTTCTACCTACATACATTAGAAAAAGTTTGTGTTTGGTTTGTTCTGTAAATTGATGCTAATCTGTGACAATACTTTCCTTTTTTCTGGGGGAAGGTGAAATAGTTCTACATACAGCTTTTATTGTTTCTTTTCTTGTCATTAATTTTCCACATTCATTTCTCTGTAAAATTTTTGGAGGCATGCTAGACTAGTAATTAAATTGCTTCAAGCCCTTGATTTTTCTAAATGCATATTGTGTAGCAACGTCGTTAGAAAGGGGGTGACAGACTGTTCGACTAATAATTGAAACGCAATGTCAGGACTCTGGAGACTGGTAGGAAGCGTTTTTGGAAGTATGAAGAATTGTTTCCTTTTCACTTGCACATTAGTCTGCTAACATTTAGTCAGCATTTGCCTTTATACTGTGTCTTGGACTAACTGGCTTGATGAGTTCTTAATCTTCACCCTACTTGTCTTTATTAACAGCTGCAGTGGATTGATTTGCATAGGTTAAATGGTAGACCTCATTTGACTCTAGGAAAATGTTGCTTCTTAAATTGTCAGAATTGTTACATATAGTGCATAAATGAAGAGGAGAGGAGAGGGCAGCAGGGGAAAAAAGGACAAAAGTCTCATTAAATTTGTAAAAAGAAGTCAAAAGCTATTTATATAAAAAATAGAAAGGATGAGGGAATGCTTTCCACAGGTTTGTTTTTTGGACAGGTACTGGTTTATTGTCAAGAAGTTTAAACATCTGAATCATGTCAAGCTTCGAAATAAATTGTGAAATCCTACAAAATCTCCTCTTAAATCCAAGCAATAACAGAGTGATGCTTCTTTGCACGATCCCTTTAGAATTTGGTAGAGTTATTAAATTGACAGTGGGGAAGGCTGTAGCGGAGAATCCGTAGCATTCGCAGGCAAGCTGGAGGCAAGAAGCGCATATCCAGCCTACTGCCAGTAAGTCTGTCATTTGTGATGGCTGCCCTATGTATTTGCTGACCTCTTCTTTCTGTTGACTTGGAGGTTCTGTTTGGAATTGGCAGTTGAAAGAGCTGAAGTGAGAAGTGTTGCCCTGTTGTTAATGCATTCAGTGCTAGCTGCCAAGTAAAGGAAAGAGAATGGAAAAATACTTTATTTATTCAGTATCGCATCTTAAGGAAGTGTAGCCTTCCTGTGCGAGAAGAAAGATAGCTGGGATTTTCAAAAGGTGTTTGTCTCCCTTAAAATGTGTTTGAAGTTTCAAAGCTCTTTCAGGATCCAATCATAAAATACTAATGAAGTCAACTCACAACATAGTGGAATGATAATCCAATGTGTTGGATTCCCCTTTGTGTGCTCTGGCCCCAGTCAAATGGGCACACACACAATGGTGGTATGACAGCGCTTTTGAGAAGAGCAGCTGTGAACCGGCAACTTTCAGAGACTGACTGTTGGCCAATAAGAATTTATACCAGGAATTTCAGTTTTCTGGTTTGTGCATGGAAGAAAACTAAAAATGTCATTTTCCTCTACACGACTTCAACTCTCTTTTTTAATATATGAATTGCTATTGGGCAGAGTTTAGCTCTGGGGTAGCTGGGATTAACTTTGATCTTTTTTGTTGAAGGTTTATATTTAACTGGTCTGGAAAATATTGGGGTGGATATTGTTAAGGGACCAAATCACTGAAGTCAATGGATTGAGAGAGAACATAACTGTTTGGTGAAGTACTATTCATGTATACTACACAGAAACTACCTTGTGTTCCTCTTTTGGCAGTAGTACATACTGCTCAGTTAACCACATCACAGGTTACTTTTAGGGACATGACTGACAGTACTATGCAGTAGCTAATATTGCAGCAGAATCTACTGGAATTCTGCTGCCAGGGCCCTTGTTGTTAGGGTTCACCACTGTTGAGAGATGACTTAAGTCAACCAACGATTGAAACTAATATTGTGGGAATTTCTGAGTTGACAGTAATTATGACTTGGATCATTTCCAGAAGACACAGCCCAGTAAATGAACTTGGCTAAAATTTACAAGACTTTAGTTCAGTTTCTGGCTTTTACCAGATTATTGCCATGAGAACTTTATGAATCATTTATTCTTTGTTCCTTAATGGATTTTTTGAGAGCAAGCAACGTAAATATTGTAAGTGTACATGTATTTATGTCACTTCCACACACACTGATAATATATACATATATGCTACTATTTCAGGTGATTCTTGATCCTTATGGATTTAGTTGGGATGGGGAACATAGGTGGTGCTTTATCCTGGCAAATGCGAAAGAATACTGAGAGAAATTGTCATTATGATGAACAGAGATGTAAGTGAAAAGAAACAGGCTTATAACTAAGGACCAGTGAAGCTGGGATAGTTACTGTCCTACTTCTATTCATCCTTGCAAATGTGATAAAAATGTATTTTCTTCAGGTAGGACTAACAGCCAGCTCAGTTGCTGTGCCATCTTTCATAAACTGTTTTCCATTCTGGAGAATTTAAGTAGGGTGTGAAAGATGCTGGCCTAGAATGCCATCAATTACTCCTCCTTTCCCCCCATTTCTGCTTGAATTCCTTTTAATAACACGATTAAAACCTGGTAACTCATTGACACTTGTTCCCTGTTAAAGTCAGCTGAGCAGTATTGATTTGTAACAAATGCAAATTGATCCATTAAAGTCAATGTCAAATCCAGTTTGACAAAAGCCTGCAGTTGTAAGGGTTTCAGTAGCTTAGTTCCACCTTGTAAAGCGCAGAATAGACACACAACACTTTACAAGTGACTTTCAGCAGTTAATAGGACACAATGATTTATTTGTGTATCCAAGGAACTGTTCTGTACAGTTTGTTGATATTATAAAAATATTTACTGATTTAATTCACACCTTTGAAAATGCAACGTGAGCTAAGAAATTCTTTTCATTTGGCCCTTAGAACTGTCTAGCATCTCACAGAGCCTGACTGCCACTTTTAATTGCACCCTGAACAACAGATTTAGCAGTCTTGAGAAATTATAATTGCTGAGCTCCTTATGTGCAAGATGATAGGTATATCTGCAATCAGGAGACTGTGCATATTCTGCAGTTTGTCGTCTTAGTTTTGTTCAGTGCAGTAGCACTTAACGCTTAGTTGAGGGAACGGCTTCCCAAAGGTGATGAGATGTTCTGATATCGTACGATGATGGTGCTGTAACATGTCATTACTTAAGCTGAACTAATTTTCACTATTCTTTGTTTATGTTCAAATTTAACTATCAGATTGGCATTCCAGGTGTGGGCAGAAATGCTGTATCTTCTGCGGAATTAATTGATATATTGAAATATTAAAATCACTGTTACTCAGAATGGCCTTTTGTGTGTGAAATGTTTCATAAAAAGGACATTTTATTCTAATTTTCTATAGAAAAAAATATTCACATAATCATACTATCTTTGTAGCTGATCCTATAAATTTTGAACCCAGTGGTTAATTTCAATCAGATTTGGATGTCACACCTTCTCAGATATCAGTCAAGTAGCCAAGGCAGAAATCTGTAAGCTTCATTACTTCTGATGCTCGGGTAATGAAGTTTTCTATTTAAAACACGGACTTTGTGTGTAGAGAGTTTTGAAATTGATTTAAGAAAGGTATGCTTAAAATAGCAAGTTTTTTGGTTCAAGTAGTATGAAAAGCACATAAATATCAGAATCTTTAAATTGCTTTTTTAGGGCTTACATTGGTAAATAAAAAATTAGCAATTTAATTTTTTTCATATTGAGAATTTTAAAGAGAAATTGTGATAAAGCGTTACTTGAACAGTTTTTCTGTACTAGAGAAATCTGCTGATGGTGTGGATTTTAATGGTGCAAAATCATAAATTATTTCAAGTCACTCAAAAGTGGGCCCAGTTTTGCCCACCTTAGTATAGTTTTTGGCAAATATAACCAATATTCAGAAGATATTGTATAATGTACACTGTAGGATGGGAAGATTACAGATTACTCAGCATGACTGATTGCAGTGTTCATAAGGAATTGAATTTAAGATTTAATCGCAGACAACTACCTTTGTGAACTTGTGCAAAAAAGAAACTGTCAGAAATATCAGAGGATGATGCTATTTTTCCTGAGCTGCATGTATTTTGATTTGTGTGACCTGACAAAGCATTTCCATCCCTCTAATTTGACCTTTGACTGTATATTTGAGTTTTATTTACTTTTCCTTTCTTCCTCCTTATAATGCTGTCTATGTAAATAAAAGTCCATTCCTGAGGCTGTAGTTAATACCTTGATCTTTAGGCGTAGGTTACTTATCTTTTGACTTCCATCTGCATTTCTGAGTTGCTTGTAGTACATAGATGCTCTACCCAGATTCTAAAAACGTTTGTATTAGAATGTGCATATCTACATATATTAGAAATATACATTATAAGTGAAATATGTGAATATAAAAATGTGCACATGGGTGTACATTCCAGTTGCTGGCTTTTGCCCTCAAAATGCTTTCTGAAGACCTAAGTTTGATAGCATTACTTTTTTTCTGGGAGCCAAGTCCTTTCCTCTTCCCAGCTCTAAGTGAGGCAGCCATGTTTGAGCTCTTTGTTACATCCACAGGGAGATTTTTTTTTGTTATTATTTTTATAGGCACCGGGCCTATGAAGTGAGGTCATCTCTCTTTGCCTGCACATCTTTAATCAGATCATCTACTGAAAACATGTGGGTTTACGATAGAGCCAACTGTAATTGCAAGCTAATCTGCTGCTTCCGCACCTTCAGTGCCTTTGGCTCTCTGCCTGATATTACTCTTAATAGTTCGTTAATACCAAATAATGCAAAAACATTGCTTCCTTAAGCACTTAATAGGATGTACTGTAATGGAGATAAATGGTTGATAACACTCTTCACTTGTGTTTTAGGAAAATGAACTGAAGGATGCTGTGCAAGAAAAGAATCGCCTGAGCCTTCAGTATGCAAGTGTGTCCCACAAAGCACTGCAATATGACCAGGTAACGTCATGAGCCCAGAACTCATACATTCATTTGTTACAGAAATCAGGCTGCAGAGTGGATAAAAGTGGATTGTAGAGTTATTTTTTCTAATTTGCTGGCTTCTACTTGAGAACATAAAATATTTTAATTAAAAATAAATTACAAAAATTTATTTTATGAAGAATTGTTATTTTCAAGTGAAAATTTAGGACTCGCTGATAGACTTTAGGGAGGTACATCATCCCTCTGATGCATATTTTTTTGGTATTTTAAATGAGTATTAGGCTTTGGTAATAAGACTTCTTTGGTGATTTTGATGAGACTTGATTCAAAAAATCTCTTCTTTTTCTGAAAAATACTGATAGAAATAATTGCTATCTAATAGGTTTTTTCCCTACCTTTCTGCATTTTTCCTTTGCATTTTTAAATTTCTCAATAAAATGTTGACAAGCTCTTGTCCAGCAGCAAATGTCCAAAACTCAATTTATCAGTTGTTACTTCTCCTGTAGCATGGCACATGGCATAGTCTCAGCTATTTCAGATCATGATATAAAACCTGTTTTAACAGTAAGCATTTTTCTTCAATTCTTTTTTGTGCCTGTTATGGGATAAAAAATATCTTTCTGATTACAGTGTGATTATATCTATGGCAAACACTGCGTGGCATAAGTAGTATGGGAGGAGAGGCTGATGTGCCTCACCACATATGCATTCAGTGGAAGAAGCATCATGAACCAGCCACTTTATAGGGCTACATTTAGCTAAAAATAAAACTCCAATCTGGGATTTCTACAGGGCTTACGTGAGTTGCTCAGCAACCTCATTCATATCAGAAGAGCTGTAACTCATATAGGCTCTGATGAAAGCCCATCTTCAAAGCTTGCAAAACAGTGGTAGCTGCATGCTTTGATATCTCTGACGTGCATGTGTCGTAGAGTAGCTCACTGCTGAATTTCCAAACCAAAGGAGGTCTGATTAATTCCCTGAGACAATGCAAATTACTAAAATTCAGAGATGGCTATGCATGTACTCTGCATTTTGTGTGTAGCACCTGGTATTGAAGCACACCTGAAATTAGCTGTTGCTGAGGAATTTAAATTGTTTTTTACATAAAAAGGCAGTGTAATAATACTTTATGATAAGAGGAAACCTCATATATCATAGCATCGCTTAATTTTATTCATCTATCTCTAGAATTTTTCTCATTCCTAATGTTTTTCTCTTTTTTTTCTTTTTTTTTTTTTTTTTTTGACTTGGAAGGGACCTCAAAGCTCATCTAGTTCCAATCCCCTGCCATGGGCAGGGACACCCTCCACTAGACCAGGTTGCCCAAAGCCCCATCCAACCTGGCCGTGAACACTTCCAGGGATGGGGCCTCCACAATTCTCTTTATTGTTGTTTACACATTGCCTTTACTCTGTACTTCATGAGACACATGAAGTCTTTCTTAAGCAGTTTTATATTCTAGCTGACACAAGAATAGCATGCATCATTAATGCAGTGGAGGCTCACTACACTGGTGATACTAAAAGTGTTATCCCTCTTACTATCAGAAAGTGAAGAACTATGCAGTTAATAATGTTTTATTATAGGTAATGTTTGTCTTTTATGACAGTGAAGAGCTTGAGGTACATTGAAAAACCTAGTAAAATCAATTTAAAATATAAACATAAAATGTCAACCTTTGACAGATTAGTCACTAAGTAATAAAATTACCTTTTACTATTGTAGTGTCAGAATTTGTCATACTATGGGTGTTTGTTTCTTCAGATATATTAAATACTGTGAAAGGCACAATGCAGCAATTCTGGATGCCTGTGCTACTAATTTAATATCACAGCCTCACTAGGATCAAAGATTTACTTCAAGCATACCCTCACTTTTAACAATTTTAACAAATGCAATCTTTGCAGTATACCTTGAATGTTAACAAATCTTGTGTTTTCCTTCTTGCATAACAGCTTTTCTGAGGGAATTACTTTGTTTTTTCTGTTTGGGTGTTTTGTTTGTTTTCTTTTTTTTACCAGACACAGTGCAGTTGAGGATAGATTGTGCAGTTTAGGTTACATTTTACTATTCAGAAAGTGTGAACTTATACAACTTTGGATGTGGAGATTGGAGCAGAATTCTAACAGAGTTAAGGCTTAGCCTTGAAGGGGAAAACCTGCCTAAAATAATTTATTCTTTTTCACCCTTGAGAGCTGACCTGAAAAACAGGCCAACTTTATCCAAGCAAATGGGGCTGGAGGAGTGTTTATGCATTCTGTTATATAGCACAGATAAAGCTACTGCTATTTTTGCACAATGTAGTTGCTGAGATTTGACTCTAGAAAGGAGTAGGTACGAGGCTGTCTACCTTTAAATCCACAAAATAAAGCTAAAATTGCACATAACTTACATGATTTAGTTCTGGTTCTTGCATAAGAGAAAAAAGTTGCATTCCTGGAGTGCAGTACTTGTGAAAAAAATTTGCGTGGTTAGGAGGACTATGACACTGGGCTGTAACTGTTTTTTGTGGTCATCTGAATTTATATGGGCTAGTGTTTTTATGTAAAAATAGAATAGGCTTTATACATTCAGAATTTATTTCCACAATACCTGAAATCATACCATTTTCATGGTAGTTTCTGAATAACGTTTTCTGAACAATGTAAGTCGTTTGAGCAATTGGCAGGTCATTAAAGTCTAGAATTAAGGCAGATGGTGGGTTATAAGACTGGTGATGCTTCTCACCAGTGAAATAAACTGCTGGTTGTTTTAGTGTGCTGGTTTTCAATAACTAGTTTCTGTTTAAGTGTTCAGGAAGTGGAAGACACTTTAGCAGTATACTGGCCTTCATAACTGACTCAAATGAGGGTGCTTTTAGTACGTGTGAAGGTATGGGATGAAAAATAAATCGGTTGATGCATTGAACAGAGGAACATCGCAGATCAAAATGTTCCATTTCTGTCATGAATTTAGAACTGTTGATGATGGCACTCTATTTAGGTCAACTGTTTCGGCCACTGGGAACATCGATGTTTTGATGTGCTCTGTGTGTAATTCAAGTTCACGTATATCCCATATGTTCTTAAACAGCCTGGTTGGAGAGACCATTAACTTTACATTTAAAAACAAATGTTGTCTAAACAAAACAAAAAAAACTCCACATTATAGACTCATGAAGTTTTATGCTGCCTTATGGGTTTTATAAATGTGTATATCGCAGCATTCTGTGATACACAGTCTTCAGAGGAGAAAGTCCTGGCAAGAATGTCTTGTAGAAATATGAAAAGTTATCAGTGTTGCCGGAAGCAACAAGAGTAATTGTCATTACTGGTGTAGCTGGTAGATTTGGTCGTGTTCTTTCCAACCTGCAAAAAGAAAATATACACAGAACTTTGTTCAAAAGCTGATCTGCCAAAAGAGAAAGTAGAGAAATGATCAGAACTATTCATGTATTCCTAAACTTTAACTAATTTAGGTATGTGCTTTGAGATCCTAAATGAAAGATCCTGAGAAGTGTAAAATATTGACAGTTCTACCTGACTGTAATTCCTCTCTTTCCAAAATTACATTAGCAGCCTGATAGGTACTGTTTGTTCTGATAGCTCCTTCGCTGCCAGCAGGGAAAAAACCACAACAGAAAGGTACTGTGCTCACTAGCTCCCAAAAATTATTCAGACTATAATGACAAGTAAGTTTTAGAAAATTCTTTACAAAGGTAATCAGTTGGTGTCAGTTGTTTTAGAGACAGGGAAAACTAAAGCCTGAGGAAAAGAACCTTTTCTTGAAACTTATTCAAAATATTGTATTTCATTCGTCCTCAGTAAATTAACTGAGAATCACAGACAATAACAAAATTGCATCGTTGGTGGTGATACCTCATTGCTTCCTTTTTCCACTCCATTATTCTTCAACAATATACACCGACTGATCTGAGCAATGAAATACAATACAAAGGATACAGGAAGTTAATAGATTCTGAAAACGCATTGTTTGCTAGTTTCCTTAGTTATAAAGAGATGAGGGAAAAGGAAAAGAAAAATGTGCACTGAAAAAAAAAATCCTGAGGTTGACAATAATTGCATCAGTTCTTGTGGAAAACATGATTTGTTCCATTTTCCTCTTTCTTTTTTCTAGTCCACTGCACTCTAAAGAGCCCTCTTACAAAGATGAATACGAGGGCTGGCTGCAACCATTTAGATTGTTTGGTCCATGGCAAAATTTGCAAGTTAACAAACTGAGGCCAGAAGGCAAATAGAAAGGCAGAATCAGTTTCCAAACCATCGCTTTAGAAAATATCCAGGAGATATCCATGTCAGAGATTGCTTAATGCCATTCGTTCTTTAAAAAACCCAAGAAATTACAGTAATTAAATGGAAAAAAAAGAAGTACTTGTCACTTCCTTAACTGAAGTTAGAAGGAAACAAGAGCTGCACCAAGATTAAAGCCTATGCCTTATCCCAATGCTTTGTACTGCTTTGCCTTTCCTTAGTCAGTAATCCTGCCAGCAATGTTTATGCTTCTGTTCTGTGTTGCACTTAACAAAGGAAAACAGGTGCTTCTTGGAACACTTTTCACTAAAAATATTATGGCTTTTTCTTTTGCTTTCTTACCTTCTATCAACATTGCAGGGAAGTGGAAATAGTATGTGAACATTATGAATGTTTTTCTACCTAGGTGTTTATTGCTGGTGGGTTTTCATTCTTAATGTAAAATTTGCAGTTTCTGATAGGACACACGCTGTAACAATCCTATTGTTATGCATCAATACAGGACATAAAGTCATAAAATGATCAGGGATAAGAAATCAAATTTTCAGCTGATCTGAATCGAAGAAAGAACTTTTCCATGGCAGGGTAAAGTAGTTTAATATTATATTTCTTATTTATCTATGTGTGTTCACAAAGTAGTCACTTCCACTGATGATTCACAAAATCCTGTATAAAAAGACTTAGGCATACCGAAATGGTTAAGCTAGCACCAAGTAAATAAAATCGGAAAACAAATCCTACTTGATGAGTATCTGATCCTTTGAAAACCTTCTGTATGCAAATATTTTAAGGGAGAGCAAGGGTTTTGCGGAAGAATACTTGTTTTTTGAATTGTAGACACTGATACCACACGTTAGCACAGGCAGATCATGTATATTTGAGTTTATTCTGAAGTCAGTTTACACTAAAGACTAGTCCAGAAAAATGTACATCTGAGTTATATGTACATGTGAGTGCTTGGGATTGCCCCAACCCATGGGCCGGGACCTTGTACTTGGCCTTGTTGAACTTCATGAGGTTTGCATGGGCCCATGTCTCATGCCTGTCGATGCCATCCAGTGTTCAAGGTTGGATGGGGCTTTGAGCAACCTGGTCTGGTGGAGGATGTCCCTGCCCATGGCAGGGGGGTTGGAACTAGATATCTTTCAGGTCTCTTCCAACCCAAACCATTCTATGATATATGTTAGATCTCTGTCTCCTTATATAGCATATGCATTTCTGATGCCTCTGAGATCCAGACAAATTAGGAGTTGTTTGATTGTCATTTATTTTGTGCATTATATAGTATATTTATCTAACTTGGTATACCTTATGCATAACTACAGTCCTTGTCAAAATATGTGCATATGTGTATAGGAGACACACAGGATTTCCTCACTGAACATTCCCTTCCATTTTTTACCCTTCTTTCCTATTTTCTTTGAACTTTCTTTCCTTTTTCTATTTTAACATGCAGAAATATTTGTGTCAGAGATAGTTTTCCCTTCATTAATTAGCTGTTTGGGCAATAATCACATTTTAATTTTTCTAGGTAAAATCAGACTATGACCATCTTAGAGAAACCCTTCTCAGAGTGACCAAAGAACGAGATTTGGCTGTAAAGGGAAAACACCAGCTCCAAGCCAAGCTGGAGAACTTAGAGCAGGTCCTAAAGGTATGTATAATGCTGTAAAGCTCAATGAACCAGTACTTCTATTGCTTGTTTAATATTCCGGATGCTCATTCAGTGAGTCACGGAAACATAAGTGTATTGCAAAGTAAGGGACTGAATGCCCCTAATAGTTATGATAAAATGTATGGAATACAGCAGACCAAGTACCTACAAGGGATCTCAAGCTATCAGAGGAGAGACATCTTTAGAGATCTTTATCTGATACTTTATAAGTAATTGGTTGTAGGTTTTCACTATACCATTGTTGGAGGTAAGTCAAGTTGAGAAGAAAAGGATGAGAAGTGACTATTCTGATGAAGGAAATATGAACAACTGCCAAGAGACTTTAAAGAGGGCTATGTCTGCCAGTCTAACTTGAATCAAAATGTTATTGTGGCCTTGTGAAACAAGCTCTTGGTACCAGCTTGTATTGTCTGTGCAGAGTAAATCCCATTGTCAAAACAGGGTTGTAAAACCTGCTATTGTTTTATTAGAGGGGTCTTATTTAGAAAGAATTGTAGTGCCTGGTACATAACCACCTTTCTTTTAACGTGCTTCTGGAGAAGCTTAGTACATTGGTGTCTAGCCATGCTTGTTTTCGAGATACACAGTTGTTTTCACATCATCAATTTGCTGCTTCCTTTACAAATTAGAGAAATTTAATAATGCGTTTTGAATCAGAAATGTATTCTTCAGTAGAGGTTTCACAGTTCAGTTAAAGATGCTGTCCTGCTTCTGTTTTCCTGGTTATTGTGTGTAATGCCATGGAACAAACTGATTCTATGAAATAGTGGAATTCACCAGGTGAATCTAACAGAGATGGATCTAGCTGAGGTGATGGGGTAGAGTAAGAATAAAATTCATTTGGAAAATGGAATCAACCGAGACATTATTATTTACTAGCTAATTCAAGGGGGCAATGATTTGTATACATTGAAACAAAGTGCAAAACAAGTTCTAGTGATGGGAAGGAAATAGTGCTTTGCAAGGAAACATCCAAATTCCCAAAGTGTCATTGATTAAATAAAGATGGAAGTCAGTAACTTGATAAGCTAGACCTGATAGATGGATCAGGAGTCTGAAGGGTCTCTTACAGACAATGTGGTGGGGTAGAGGGAGCCAGTGGAAGGAAGCATATGATGTGATAGAAACACAAATTGGTTTGAATGTTCCCAGATTTTCTTAGTTGTAGAAAACATGGAAGTTGTGATGTGAAAAACTGCCACCAAAACATGCCTTGAAGAAGGTTAAGCAACTAAGATTATTTTTTTTTTAAAAAAAAAAGATTAATGTAGTTACAGCTGTTTACATCAGTGGCGGATCTGCATTGGTGAGGACTCCAGTGAGAATTCTTGAGAGAGAAAACACTTGTAAACACTTGTCTGTATTTCAGACCATTCAGAAAAATGAAGGATGTGTTTGTCTGGTTAGAATGGAGCATTGATCCAGTGCTGAAACTTTTTTGACAGACTGTCAAAGAGCTGCTTATTTTTCATCTTCTCAAGCCCAAGGTTTTCCTTTTTCAAACCACTGAAGTGGCTAGTAAAGGAGGGATGGATGTCCTGAGAGACGGATGAGATGGAAGTGAAAATAAGTGGTCTGAAATAGTAGATTTCAAGCAAGACTTTTTTTTTGCAGAATGCTTTAATAATTCTAAGTGACTTCAGCCAATGCTTGTCATAAGAACAATCACTTATTTTAAATTGGACTTGTTAATGATTTTGACTTGCATCAGACTCACTCTAAAAGGGGAAAAATAGTTTTGCTGTTGGCTGCATCAGAATAGATCTGGGCTTTTGGAGATGATTGTAGTGATCAAAATGGCTATCTGTCTGAATTTTGAGGAGAGATTTTATTTTTGGCTTGTTGCACTGGTAAATACATTGTTGAAACCCTCTCTCAAGCTTTATTTGATATTGCTCAAGAGGTGAGGAGGTTTTCCAGCTATAGATGGAAATAAAAGGTGGTTATAAGGTGGGTCCTTCTTGCTGAGCCTCCAAAAGACTATGGGGTTATCAAAAGTGAGCTGACTGCTCTGTAAACCAACTTAGTCCAGCAGCTTCTGGAAACATGAGCTGTTGAAATCACATACTGGGCAACGCCAAGGAGAGTTACCTGTCATGTGTGGTGTTGTGCAGTGAATTATCAATGTCCTATTTACCAGTCAATAGGTAGCACTGATGGAATAAATCTAGAATTTTGTGCAAATGAACTGGGAAAGGAAAATTAAACAGCTTAATTGAATAGAAGCGTGATACACTGTTATCTCTCTTTAGACTAATACAACTTTCCCTAGGAACAGGTAGGAAGTTTTTCTCTAGCAATGGAAGATAATTTACTTGTTCTGTTATTTCCTTCCTTTTCTTCTGGGGAATACAAAACTGACAATTCCACATACCTTTATCACTAATTTGCTATTTTACTGTGAGCCATATGCAAGTAGAATCAACACCTAGAAGCTATTTCAACAGATATGGCTTGCCCATGCTCTCTATATGATTGTGGGATTCCAGCTTGATAGCTGCAGAAATTCACTTCTTCAAGGATCATGCAGTAGAAAGATAAAAGGAAAAAAGTCTAGAAAAGAAATGAACTGTGATTTCATGGCTCATAAAACAGCTGAGGATTAGACTTTGCTCTAAGTAAATTGGCATTAATTCTCATTTAATCAAATCAAAATACAAGTTATTATTGTCTGAACTCGTATGCTGCTAAAAAAACCACCCACTTTCTTGAGCATAAGTGATTGTGAACTCTTAACTCCTTTCTCGTACCCTGTTCAGATACTGGTTTTGCTAGGCTTGTATGGTTTTGAATACTTGAAATTCCTCCAATGATGTACTGTGTTTTACTTTCTTAAAACAAATCAAAGAATGTACTTTCTTTTTTAGCCATACCAAACTACATTAATTTGTCCACTCTTTAATTAGGATATCTACTGGCATTGGAATTAATGATTCCCCTAAATTTCTTCTGTGGAAGAGCTGAATCTGGTTATTTGACTGATATTGCTTAACTTCCACTGAAATAATACTTCTAATGTACATGGCAGGAACATCCTGTAAATCTTACTGTTCTGCTTAAGAACTTCTTCAAAAGTTTCCTTCAGTGAAACAAAAATTGTCTGATGGATATAGAGATCCTGGCTTTTCATATTCAGTAGTTCTCTCCTTGAGCAGAGCACTTCTGAGCTGCCAGAGTATCTTGAACAGAGTTGAAACTCTAAATCTCCTTTTTAGCATTAAACCATGCCCAAGCAGATGCAGTTAATTGTGTATTTCATGTATGTCCTCATATGCTCAGGAAATTAGTATTTTGAAAAAATGGTTTGCAGCTTTCCAGCCATTGGAAAGTTTTAAGAAATGTTTAGCCTAGTTTCCCTGTCAAAAGAGAAATTCAGTTTCTCTTTTGAGAAATTCAGGATGTATCAACAAAGCAGAAAAAGGAAGAAGAACTGCTGAATTAGCTAATTCCTGACGATCTTCACAGTGCCTCTCACATGGAACAGTTCTGATTTTCTGATGTGTTCAGCCAGCTTTTCCCATTCATTCCACTGTAATGGTGCCCACCCATCTGCAAGCGCAGATGACAAGTCCTTTGATCAGAGTACTTGGGTGAGAATTAAATTTGCTCCCCATTCAGCATCATGTATGAGTTCTGTCTCATAAACAAGACTTTAGTACTTGAAAGCCATTTGAGTTTGTTCTAGCATTAACCAGTTGCACATTTTAGAACTGTAAAAGTCACTGCTGTAGGAAAGAATGGGTTTCTTTGTTTTGTTTGCAGCTGTAGGTAATACAGTGCAACCACTGAAACGGTTGGAGCTAGGATGGACTATTCATTGTCAAATCCCCCTGCTGCCTGTGAGGAAGCTGGAAAAACAAGAACTGTTTGAACAGGTCCCTTAAGTGCTATTTCAGAAACAGTTTATACTATACAGCCGTCTAGCTCTGCAGTTTGAAAGAAAACTGAGATATGCACGATGTCCCCAGTTCATTCTCAACTGCATAGCAGGTGATCTGAAAGATATACTGGAAAGGTTCCTTCTTCACACTTTCTCGAAAGGATAGGGCACTATTTGCCAATTGTTTTGAAAGTCCTTACTGTGTTTTTTCTATGCTCTTTTAGGTGTGGATTTGCTTTCTGATATTACAGTAACATTATTAGGATCTCTAGAAAGGGTGCAAAAAGGGACGTACAAATTTATGTGTTTAGAAAGTTGTAACCTGCCTCACATTAAGGAAAGCGATAGCATGGACAAATGGATTGCCACCACCTGCCCAAACCATGGCGATGTGATCATTGTGGAAGTCAATCCTGAAGGAAGATGCAGAAATAATTCAGCAGCTCGGACAGTCCTCCTCCACTGCCCTAACCTATTCCCCTCAGGCTTGGAAGAAGAAATGGCAGCAGCTGATGTGCAGACAGGAAGCGCAAAACAGATTTGCAGACAGAATCGATTTGTGAGCAGAGTGGGAGGGGAGGAATTGCTTCTGGTTTGGGGGAGATTTAATTGCTGTGCCAAGGGAGAGACAGATGCTGGGGTGAAGAGATCCGTGCTGTTTTAAATACTAAGTAGATCATGACAATACTAAAATGACTGAGAGATACTTTTAGGTTAACATAAATGACCAAATGGCCTTTTCTGACCTTAAAATCTGTGAACTGTAGATCATTATATACATATTTTAGGAAACAGAGAAATTAAAAGCTGGGGAGAATCACAGATCATGTATCACAATCTGTTTCTTCATTACATTTTATAGATTCACTGTATGGTCACGGTGTTATTTATTGATCTCTGCAAAGGACTAGAAATGTCCTGTAGTAGCTTTTGTAAAATTAGTAAAAACTTAATGCTATCAAAATATGCTGTACCAAATCTGGCACTAAATCTTGAGAGTGGGTTTTTTTTTCCCCTGATAATTAAAGGTTTTAAAGGTGTGAGAATTACTTGATTGCCTCACCATTTCTTGAATATAAGAAATGTGCTGATGCTCCATCAGTGTCAAGTTTGACATAAGATTTGATGGAAGCTGCTGAGCTCAGTAAATGTAGCTTCATGCTAATTTAAATCATGAGTAATACTGGTTAGCAAAATAGTTATGTGCATTCAGATGAGATGAGAATCGGAACCATTATTTTTGGTCACTATTAAATACTGAGAATAGATATTACCCATGAACAGAAGCATTTAACTTTTTTACACTATGCACAGTTCAGAAATGTCTACAGTCAAAATACTAAGTCCTCACAAAACTCCTCGAAAACAAGCCATAGTTGAGAGTCAAAACTGATCAATCGGAAAGATCTTTGATGATTTTTTTTTTGTTGTTTTTAATGAACACATCAAATAAATAAATTCCAAGCAGGATCCAAATGGAATATTGGAGACATTTCTGCTTCCTTTGCAAACATATCCAGATTGAGAGAAGCCAGCCTCACTGTGCTGTCCCTCTTTGTTATGAGAAACATGTAGCAGAGAATAACAGCTCATTAAAGTTTAGCAATATGCTTGATAAAATTTTCTCTTGTACACAATAAGAGATATTTTGGGCTTTTCTTGTCAATTTTAGTCTTGTATTTGTGTTTCCAAGTGCTGATTCCTAATAGGTTTGTGTGTAATAACTTGTGGTGCTGCAGATAAGACATTGTGCCTCTGCTCTGAGAGTATTAGGGGAATAGTACGTAATTTGGAAAATAAAAATCTTTAATACCAGTTCCCCAGAGAAGAGATCAGAATCTATAAAGAGAACTTTCTTAACTCCCTTTTATTAACAGGGTGTTTGGAAGTTATAATGATATTGGGAGAGTAGTATTAACCTGTAATGAAAAAGATTTCTATCTGCAAAGGGTATCTTGACATTGTTCAGCTTGTGCTCTTCCCAAGAACCTTTCTCATATTGCTTTGAATCATTAGTAGCAACTGTAATTTAAAAGTTGGTTTTGGGTACTGTATGTACTTTTGTCCAAATCTACCTGTGTTAGTTTTGCTATAATTTGCTATAAATAATAGGGAGAGATTAGCAAAGGTAAGCTATTTCTTTTGGGTCATCATTTGCAAAACCAATCACAAAACTATATCCTAGATAAAGAAGCATTTAGGGAATTGTCAAGCTAATTTTTTTTCCAAGCTTTAATTTTTCAGCACAACACACATAGAAATGTGTGCCTGATGGATAAAATGGGTACTGTTCACTTGTGCATCACAGAGGCCACATTGCTGGCAATGACAGAGTCATATATTCTAAAAGAGATTGCTGTCAAAATGCCCGAGTTTACCATGGGCAATATGCCCCTAAGTACTGACTGAATGAAAATCCTATTCAGTTTTCAGCTTGCCTATCAGTGATACCAGAGAGCTCTTATGTTGAGATGAATATCTGCATGCCTGGGAATGGCAGCATGTTTGGCTGCAGGTAGAATATGTTCAAGTCTCCTGATAGTTTTTCTGCTTTCTTTGAAACAGCATATGCGAGAGGCTGCTGAACGGCGGCAACAGCTGGAGTTGGAGCATGAGCAAGCCTTGGCTGTTCTCAACGCCAAACAGCAGGAAATTGAACTCCTGCAGAAGGTAAGTGGAGAAAAGGAAAGTCAGGTGAAATAGCAAATTGCAGTGACAGAGCACAGATCATGAAACACGTCTGTTTTAAAGGAACTTGAACCACAACTGGCAAACTAGTTCCTGTTCTGGATTGTTCTGCGTGATTGCTGGTGCAGTTGTAACAAGTCGATGTTTACTGTTGGGTTTACATGACTGTACTAATTGACTTATAAATGTTTATGCCAGTGAAGATTAACTTGACACCAATATACGTAAGCCCTCATATTTTCCATTAGGGAGAAAAGTGATGCAAATACATGTATTTCCTTTATATTTCCATTGCTTCTCTCTGTATTGGCCTTGGGAATATTTGTGCATTCCTTAAATGCCAGGAAAGAATCCAGTCTTAATTTCATGATTATCAAAATATGAGGAATCCACCATTTCCTTGTCAGTTTGCTGGAACAGTTAATCATTCTCACTGACACATTAATGTTTTTTTAGAATTTCTTTGGCTTCATCATCCAGACACTGGCAATTCTTACTACCTTTCTCCACTAAATTAGATTAAAATAAGTCCTTGTCAAGGTACTTACACATTACAGTTCATAAACTAAACTTTTTCATAAACTAAACAGTTGTTTAAGTACCTCATTTCCAAGCTCATTCTGTAATTCACAAATCACTTTAAGACTTTTTTCACACTGCAACTTCTCAGTATTTATTACAATATAAAAAACATGGTATTGAGTTTCAGTCTTACCAAAGTCAGTGTAGTTGTCTAAAGACTAATGTTGATTTTTCCAATTGCTTGACTAGATCAAAACACAGAAACAATAATGCTATTGATAATTTGGTAGAGAATTGGCATGGAGGGACATTCTCAGCAGAATAAAAAGATATATCTAAATATAGTTTGCTTGAAATAGAAAGCTTCACTTGACCAAATTAAATCTTCCAGTTAATTTTCTTTTAGCCTTTTGCAATTAATCAATTTAGGCATATTTCAAAATGCCATTTCTAGTTGTATTCAGCTGTTATTATTTGAACTTCCACATAAATTTTGGACATACATGTCTTGGAAAAGCAAAGAAATCAAAGAAAGGTACAGCTTTTCTTCTTGCTAATTGTTGTCATTTTCTTCCAATAAATCCACATTACATGGGTCTTTTTGTTACAGATATGTATCAGGAGACAAATCTCTGTAATACTGTTTTCTCTAGTCATTTTTGCTAAGCTATAGCGTGATAGACTTCGAGCATAAACGAGGTTGTATTGTATTTGTTATTTTACCCAATGCAACTAGCTCAGCATCTGTAGTCAGTGATTAAATTCTTGCTCAGTGGAGCTGAAGTAGCATGGAATACAAGATCATTTATGTTAAAAATTATTATCTAATAGTCATTTACCACTAAGTTCCACTAGAATTTTAGCTTAGAATTCCTATACTAAAATCCACCATAACAATTAATCTATGCATTATTTAGTAGAAGCTTTTAAGAAATAATTCATCCTTCTTAGTGGTTTCATTCCTTAGCCTGAAATACTCCTCCTAGGACTTTGCACAGACACTCATTTTCACCCTCAAATGTCTAATTCTTTGTGATTAAGTTGCTATTGTGCCTTTTAAAATTATTATTGTCTTTCATAATAAGGATCTGTGACAACTTAAATGAGCATTCTACCCGTCACATTTCTTGACAAAATCTGTATGTGATATTCATTCTAGATACCACTTAAAAAGAAAAAGGGCTTTTAAAAAAAAAAAAAAAATATTTTCAGCTGCTCCAAGCTCAGATTCTTTTCCATTGTGACATGTTGCGATCCTAGCTTGATTGAGATGCTTAGTTGCTTCTGTAATGCTATTATTAATGCTATAGAATAAGAATGAAGACCAGATTAGTACACTGTATGGGTAGCAGAGGTAAAGTATTCAAAACATTGAAAGATTTTGGGGGGATGTCTACATGGACTACTGTTCTATCTTGGAGAGAGATACCCAAGCTACCTGTAGTTCTCTAGGCATGGTAGTGGAGATGAGCACAGGCTAATTTGTTCTGCTGTAGTGTCTAGACTGCTCATATCCAACACATCTCCTTTTTAACATTACAATGCAGTGTATATTGTCAGAAAAACAATTTAAATAAATCTGTTACCTAAGTAACTACAATATTTTGCTTCCATCATTAAACAGGAATCACTGGCTCACATTTCATCCAGAGCTGACCTCCCAATATACCTAATACATGTGTTAAATTCTTTCTTCCTTTTTTTTTTTTTTATTAGAGTGATCTAATTACTTGAAAAAGTACCATGAAATGAAAGTAGTAATTCCAGGCAGTAACAGGATGACATTTCACAGAATAAACTTGTTACTGTCGTAAAGTTGCTGGTGAACCACAGAAATGTGCACTTTAAAACAAAGCAAGTTACTGGTACAGTCTGATGTATTTGCTGTCACATTTTGATATTATAAATAAAAAATCATTGTGTTTTTAATATATGTACAGACTGATCAGATTTTCAGCCTAAAAGGAAGAATATAATGTTGTTCATCAAGGTTTTGTGTTGATAGGGAATCAGATAGTCATTTTCTCCAAGAAAGCCTTACTACAAGACAGTTCGATGTAGAAGAGAGATAGCTATTGATGCAGGTTTTCTAATCATTTATCAAGAACTCATATTCTGGGTAGATTTTATTAAACTTGTAATGATGGATAACACAAGGCTTTCTATTACCTGTCATCATAGGTTAGCTAATGCTCCTGGAGCCAATATTTTATCAGGTGCTGGCAATAAGACTTATTACTGTAGTACAGAAAGAAATATGATTGTGCTTGCAGGACCAAAGGAGCCTTTATTACCATGCATGACAGTGTAGTTTGGGTAAATGTTTTCAGTTGTGACTTTATGGCCTGACTCAGCTTCCACTGAAGCCAGTAAGGGAGTAGGGTAGCCCTCATAGATGAGGAGAATGAAGTTAACATAGCTGAGTCAGTGTCCATCGTGGAAGTATCTGGCCCATTAAGTTAGAAAGTCTGTGAGGTGTTGCCCTCTGCTAAACTGGAGGGTTTTAAGACTTTTCTCTGATGAGGAATGTGCAGAACGTGTTCTTTGGGTTACAGTAAAAAGGAGCTAAGAGGCAAAGCTAGTGTATCACACTGCTTTCAGCCTGATACAATAATTAATAAAGTTTTGCTTACCTTGAGCAACCTTCAGTAAAGAAGATAGTGAAAAAATAAATGGAAATAAACTGAGGATTACACAAAGTTACTGAGGTTTTTTGGTTTTAAGGTTTAGATTTTTCCCAACCAAAATTTGGTAACTGAATTTCTGAGCTACATAAAATACAATTTTCTGTTCGTATTGATTCCCTCTTTTCTTCTTTGACTCAGGTGATTGGACCCTAAATGTTGCACACCTGTTCAGAGACAAATTTTCTTGTGGTTGTGAGCTTTTTACTTAGATGATAAATACTGTTGCTGCAAGTAGAGAATGAGCTTAATTTTGTATTGCTTTCTCATAGCTGGTATGGTAGGTTTCTACACTACGAACCTCCTGCAATGTAGAATAACAAGATCATTTTTCAGTTTTAATTTAGAGGGTTTCACAGATACTTCTGATGTGTTCTTGCAGTGTGTTGAGCATGCTCTTCTTGGTCCAACAAAATACCGATGCTGGTAAGCTTCACTGAGATTCAATCTCCTAAAAATAAGCAGTTATTTCAGTGGCTTGGAACCAAAGCGCTGTAGTAATATTGATGGAGCCATCCCTTCAAGACTGTGATTGGCTTTGGATTTTAGTATGCAATATGATACTTTATGTGGTTAGAGCATACTATATGTGGCATGATTAATTGATTTTTCTTTTTTCTTTTTCTCTCTTAATTGTAAAAACAAGGCTCAGGTTGAAGCTAAGAAGGAACATGAAGGAGCAGTTCAATTACTAGAGGTAAGAAGATATCCTTTGCTTGTGGAGACTCCGTTCTGAATGTGATAACTTTACAGTACAATCTTTTTTGAAAGTTGCAAGAAATATGTAGGCAAATAGGGTTTTTTCTATTCTAATGTAATTGCATCCTTTAATGATTATAATTCAGTTAGGAGTGCATTAAGCTGAGCTGTTGGAAATGATGTGTGCACCTCAATTTCTCTTTGTATAGAACGGAAATTTTAGTACCTTTTTTTTTTAAATACTATGATACATAGAAGGGAAGTGATTACTTGTAAGAATTATTATTGCTTAGGCTGGAAATATAGCTGCAACTAACAATTAATTATGTAAGGTCCTAATTAAATACTGGCTAGTAAATATAAAGCAACATGTTAAAGAGCCAAAATTTTTAAACCTAATGGAAGAATTTGGATACTTCAAAAAACCTTCAAAGGATGTTGTAGAGAGAGAACACTAGAACATACTAGATATTTTCAAGGTAGTCTGAACTGGGCATTTGAAAATCAAGGGCACCAGAAACATATTCAAATTTTTAATTAGAAACATAGAATAATTTTTTTTGGAAGGGACCTCTGGCTACCTGGTCTGATTCCCTGCTCAGAGAAAGGCCTTCTTTAACATTACTGTAGGCTGCTCAAGGCTTTGCCCAGTCCATTTCTAAATATCTCTGGGAATGGAGATATGACCACCTCTATGGGCAGTCTCTTGAGCACTTTCATTATAAAGAACATTGTTCTTGTATCCTATCAGAATTTTTCTCTGGGTGCTACCCATATCCATTGCCTCTAATCCTATCGCTGTGTATCACCAGCAGGGGCCTTTCTTAGCATTTCCCAACTATGCTGCAATATGTTTTTAGAATTTGCCAGTGCCTATTGGATTTAGTAAATAAACACTGTTAAATAAATTAAGTTTTGAGAGATGATTCCCATGATTCGATTTACTAACTTTTAAGGCACTAAATACCTGTACGTACAGACATCATTCATAAAGATATATCAAAAAATCTTAGTGTTTTCCGTAGCAATTGCTCAGTTATGACCTTAGCATGGGGCATTTCCTGTAAATTCATTAGCAGTTGAGTTTATGGACTTTGAATCACATTTCAAGCTTTCCTTCAAGTCATTAATCCTAAAGAAAAATCTAGTGATTTAGTCTTCTGGATACAGAATTGCTTGTGTCTTGTATAGAAGTGACATGAAATATAGGAGCAAATTCTTACTCCCATTCAAAAACCATGAGCTTTCCTGTCAGTTTTAGTTGGAATAGGGCAAGGTTTGCAAAACCTCTTTGTCTTGGGTGGGAGTGAAATTTTTAGAGATTTTAAACTGAGACTCTTATAATAATGGAACCTTCGTAATGGGTACATACAGTTATGGTTAAATTACATATTTAAACACAAAAAATCAAAGGAGAATTGAAATAAATCAATACACTTGAATATCTGCCTGGTGCTGACAAAACCTTTTATTCCCTTTTCCGTCTGCTGTTTAGAAATGCAGGCTGACCCGCAGTGTTGTGCACAATAGGACAAAAGACAACAATATGTAACAGAAATTAGAACTCTTGTAAGAAGGTTCCTAAAGCAAACAATTCCTCCCCAGTTTTTCAAAACCAGGCTCAACAGATTCTTTAAGTTACAGTCATATCATTTGATGTACTTGGATAAGGTGAAGTGTCAGAAAATACAGATGTACAAGTAATTAGCACACTAACTGCATCCAGATTTCCTTTTTCTCTTTTTTGTTCTTCATTTTTTCACACAAAATAGGTTTTCACTGATAACTACCAAACTAACATTTTTGTCTGAGGAAAAGAAAAATCATTATATGGTTATTAAGTCTTAACATACGTATCATAAAGAACATGCAATACCATAGATTGATTATAGTAAGTGCATTGTCAATATTTCATTTAGAAATCTGTTTTTAGCAGAAAATAATTTCTAGTCTTTTTACCTTCTCACAGTCGTTCTGTCTGTGTACTTGCTGATCACACACTGACTGAAGGTGGTTTTTCTGGTGCATTGATCATCTTTAAATACACATTTTAAAAATCTGTTTATATCTATAAAAGTTAATATTCCCACAGAAAGTGTTTTACTTACAGACTTTCATTATAATTGTATATATTAAGTTTGTTTTGCCTTTAAGAATATAAGATTAAATTATTATTTAATGCCTGGTAGAAAGTGTATGATGCAGGAAAACAGAAGTAGAAACAAAGCAGGCAAGTGATTATTTATCCCCCCTGAAGCTAATCAAAATCCCTATTTAGCTGATTGTCTGCCACCTCCGATTTGCATAATGCCATCAAAGTTTCCTAAGCTTTTGCTTTTTATTGTCATAAGCCCATTAATTTTTAGCATTTTATTTAATCTGCCTTTTGCAATTTCAGATCAGCAGTGGTATTGATTTCTGAAATGTTCTATAGTGTGGTTTGCGTTAATGCATGTTTTTACACGTGTTAACTGTTCTAATATATTTTGCTTTGAAATGTAAAAAAGTGTTCAAAACTATTTTTATTTCTTTATTTCACATCTCTTTGTTTACTGTGTCTTGTTTGGAATTTATTGCTTTGCACTTCATCCAGAACACCTTGGACAGCATGCAGGTATTTTAGGGCATAAATTCTCCTTTCCCTGTCCTGAATCCTGCACTTTTCCCTTTAAAATGAGTATGACAGTCCTGCCTAACCTTGCATGGAATGTGTGCTAGAACCATTGTTATGCAAGCATGCTTGGCATTTATTGGCCTAATACCAAATGACAAAAATCAGAGCTTTTTTCTACAAGAGATTAATCTTCAAATATGGCATGAGTTAATGAGAACTCACATACTAGTTTTGAAAGCTAATTTCTTATGAGCATGCCCAGTAAGAATGGTTTGATAGTTTATTCAAGATTGTAGCTTTCTGACTGTGTGGATTTTGACTGAATTCAGATTGTTTCTTTGTTAATACAGAGATAATGTTATGTGGTATTTTCACCTAAGGTTGATTTATTAAGCCACCTACTAAAAACCATTGCTGCTACATAAACAGTTAAACTATGAAATGATATCTCTGTAGCAGAATGTGAGCTAATTACTAGTCTGAATTCAAGCCTATCCACCTGGAAAGTTGCTTGTCATCTTATCTGTCTTGTGTGAACAATAACCGTCTTGTAAAGGATGAAGTCTGCTTCATTTTCAATTTAAGAAGCTGTTTAAGTTTTACAAATAGCACTAGGTATTGTAGATGAAACTTGGCAAGTCCTAGGTGATATACATTCGGTATGGTCTCCAGTAGAGAATGTCTTTTCATACAACCACTGCTATAGGCAGATCCAGTTTTAGGAAGATCTGGTAGACTTGGTACTTTTGTGCCATCATTATTAGGATAGGCTATATGGGCAGAACTACAATACAGAATGAAAATTCAGTACTTCTGAGAGCGTGAGCACATGCCTCGCTCTGCAGTGACATACATGAATAAGTAGATTTTACAGTGAGGTGAGTCTGGCAGGCTCGCAATAAACTAAGCACCTGCCTGAAGTCAAGAAACAAAGATGGGGATGGGGATTCCTCCTGTTAGTACTATTGTGGATCTTATGGCAATTTTTTCTTTATATAGTATCAGCTTTGTGCTCACTTCTAACTCACAACTTTGATTAAAAACAATTAGTAAAGGCATTTTTCTTCCAGGCTTTGTACTGACATGAGAGAACAACTTGAAGATTCTAGATACTCAAAAGAAAAGTCGAAGAAAGCATATACTGAAATGCAAATAAGTTTTAAATTAATAAATAACAATACATTAATATTTTTTCAAAAATATTTTTAAGGCAGTCTTAGCATCTTGTTGGGGTCTGGATTGTGATATATTTATTTTTTTATTTTACACTAGAGTTTCCATAACTGCCTGTGGGAAAGGTCAGTATATATTCTTAGAAAGTTGAGTAGCTCATCCTTAAACTTTCCCTTGGAAAGAGGGGATCTAAAAACCCAAACCACTTTACTGTTTGTTTGTTTAATGTTCTTTTAAAATTGTACATAGATGCCTTATTTGTGCAGCAAATTAACAAGTAGCAAAATCTTATATTTCAGTTGCTCAAAACCACAGTGAAAAGATGGAAGACAAAAAACCCCAAAATTAAAGCATGTAGTGTTTGTGTAAAGCTCCCACAATCTCTCTGTGTCTTATTGTTTTCTGTTTCATAGTCAGATTGTTACCCTGAGACTTCTTTAGCAGAACTAAATTAATTTGTGTTTTATGAATACAAAGAAATTATATCCTCAAAATTCACTGTAAAAATACATGAAAAATGTATTTGTGACCAAAAAAGGCACAAACAGTACCACCTTCTGTAGTAGGAAATTTGGATTTTTGTGTTCTTCTGGGGACTACAAGTGTTTTGTTTATCTTTAGCTGTGTTAAGATCTTTGTATAGGTGGTATGTATTATATGTCATTTTCTTGATATGTAATATGTGTGGTTTTTCTTATATGAACAAAAAACTTTTCTCTTTCAAGAAGAACAAACCTTTAGTACAGTTGAATGAATCTAATTGATATCCAGGCTTCCTTTGTTAGTACACGTTTGACTAGGCGTACACTGTAAAGGGGTTTTTAATGAAGGAAAGTGATATTTGTTCATCATAAAGCATCAGATTAGGATATAATGCATTAGCTTTTCATATAAGGAGCCTGTTACTGCCTCTGTTGAGCTACTTCTGCTTGCAGTGTTTGGGTCACAGCGCATAAAACACGAGTGCTCCCTAGGTCTCAAATGGCACATTTCCAGAGTACAGGCCAACTGTTTGCCCCTATGTGAAAATCAGGCCTCACAAATGAAATTCTCAGAAGCTTTGCTGATTCTTCAGTCTTTGCAACAGGTGTTCATATGCTCTTTCCTAACTCTCTGGGCACTCTAGATTTGTGGGTTTTCTCTTCAAGAATATCTGATAGTGTATGCATATATACGGGCTGTTTATAAATGCAGATTGAAATTTAAATGCATTATACTGAAAACATTATATCATAAATTAGCTGGTGCAACAAATGTGCAGATTTGGATAAAAGGTTTTTTCATGCTTTAGTGTTACTACTCTTAGATATGTTTTTAGTAAAAGTCGTAGAAGAAACCCTGAATTCCCATGCCCTTTGTAATTCCTTTCAGCCAGGGAATCTTGCCTTTGGGTCACCTCATCCATTTTTACACATCAGGAATTCATAAACTGTATCTCGGCAAACTTCCCAAGTCAGCACAGAAGCTTATCTTCTAAGTTCTGTTTTGCTAAAGCCTGATGCCTCAAAATTAAAACAAAAATGTTTGCCATTTTGGTACTTCTCACAAGCTTACAAACAGTCTCCTCTTGGCCCGTGTTTGGATTACTTTTGTGTGGTTTGGCACCTATAGTGAGGAACATTATTTTTGAGAGGGAATTGAGCCAGTAAATAGACCCACATTCTGCATGAACCATGGTGGGGGCGGGTTTTGGTGGTGGTTTTAAATACATAAATGTTAATCTAACAATTCAGGAGGCTTCAACTTCATAGCCAAGGATGGGCAAACCTCAGAAATATACTTGAGCTTTAGAAAAAGGTGGAAAAGTGCACAAAAGTGACATTCAGATGTGTGTAGAAGTAACAAAACTGTAGGATCTATTTGCAGGTGTTCTTGGCAGTGATTTTTTTTAGCACTGCCAAAAAAATATGATGAGGAATTTCCACTTTGGAAATTGGGGATGAAAGGAGAATTTACCTCAATATTACAGGGCTACTAAAAAGTGTAATTCTAAATGTGGGTGACAGTTTAGGGGGAGAAAAGTATGACTGTGGGTCTGTTTATCCCAAGTAGTTTGCCTATCCTGGCTTCCTGGTACTTAAGAAAAATCTGATGCAGTCATAGCTCACTCTGATCTCAGTCAAATGTCTGTGTTATGTCTTGCTTGTGCAGGCCAAGGTCCGAGAGCTAGAGGAGAAATGTCGGACACAGAGCGAACAATTTAACCTCTTGTCCAGAGAACTGGAGAAATTTCGACAGCAAGCAGGGAAGATTGATCTCCTGAGCAGTAACTCGGTGGCATCCTCAGATATCCCTGGTTCTCCTGGTAAATCTCTATCCCAGTTAATGAATGGAATAGCCACTTCTATAGGCAAAGGTAAGGACCAGCATTTTATTTGGAGGTATCTGTTCTGCCCTGTAGCTTTTAAGATACAACTCAATGCTATAAATAGACTTTGATTGTACAAATGGAGGATAGAATTCCTGGTTTGTGACTTGTTTAAATTTCAGCCTTCACTGAGGTGGTTCCAGTTTTATTCAGTCACTGCTGTGACTGTTGTTGGGTATAATGAAGAGAAACCTGTTCAGTGTTAAAATGATGTATTTCTTATGTAAATATCTAGTCCTGTTGGAAGAAGAAAAACTATCTGCATATACAGGGCTTTGTTGTAAAACCTTCACTGTTTCAGGGACAGGAGTTGGTCTGCTATCTTGTTGAAGTAGCAGAGAGACCCCCACACTGCTTACATAAACAAAACTTGTAAACAGAGCTGGGTAGAAAATGGGAAACCTGAATGGAATGTTTTGACAAACATGAAAAGTTTTTTGATTTAGTTGCATTTGTTCAACATAAAATATACACTTCTCCATAAAAACTTAAAAGTAAAACATTAAAAAAAAATTCAATGGAAGCAAACACTGTCTACAAAAGCACAGATTCTGTCACAAAGTGATTTTGGTTGGGAAGGAGTATCATGGGATATATTTTACAGAACTGAATAGGGTTAATATCTACAGTTGCTTACTAAACTCTGCAAAGGTGCGTTCAAATTTTTAACTGTTTTTAAAAGAGTATTTGAACATGTAACTGCCACCTGTTTTAGGAACAGAAAAGTTGCAACAAAAATATTGTTGATTTGCATTTTAATAGATGCAGAGTGTAAAGTAAAAAAAAAAAAAAAAAAAAAAGGTAATTTACAACTGTATTGGTGTTCTTACACTTATAGTGCCTAGAATCTTCAACACAGTATGTTTTTCCAGGATCTGTGTTGAACTTTCACAAGGTCATCTCCTGTTGCCAGAGGCAACTGCTCATCCTAAGTACACAACTTTGTTAACAATTCATTATTCATAAGAAAATTTCAGAGATCAAGGCAAGCGGTTACCTGAGGACACTTGAAAGTAACTTGCATGTAAATCACATGTTAGATTGTGTATTATAACTATGTTGTTATCAAGGCTGAGGAGTGTGCTCACCAGCTCAGTATCACCCATGCTAGAATGATTTTACTTGTTCTGCAAAGGAACACTTGTCAGGTAATTACTTACAAATTCCCCTAAAGTTGTTTTAAAATAAGTATGAAGAGGAACTGGAAAAATGAAATAGTCTTGACTTTTTTTATTTCATCTTCCTAACATTCTAGAAAAATTCTGAGGCATAGGGCCTAGAAATCACAAATCATTTCCCTGTTGTTACAGATGAGCACTTATTTTCAGTGAAGGGTGCTAAACTCAATGTGAAACCAAGTCAAAAGGAACCAAGGTGACATCCCTCCTTCATTTCACTTCAGTAACTTTGTACTTTGTATGCCTTGGGTTTTTGAACACAAAATTGGAGCTGTTTGCAGTCTTGCCTCTTGTGATGCATATTATTTTATAGACTTTTCTGGACCTGCAGGTATTACCTAAGGAGATATTAAAGTGCACTAAATGGAGAATTAAGAAGGCATTACCTGATAGCCCTAAGAATTTAGTAGAAATTTCCTTAGTATCAACAGGATTAGCTCCTCATCTCTCTAAGGACAGGCTTTTCAAAGCAACAATTAATTTTAAAGGAAAGGTAATTAGGTATTGAAATGTCCTTTAGGCAGCTAGTGAAGGTCCAGTCTGTATCTCTGGAATCAATATAAATAGGCCCCAATCCTCAAATGAAAATCAACTGAACTTTTTGAGGTCCTCAGTCGAACTCTCCAAACTAACTTATATTTATTCTTGAAATACTAATGGAAACAGCTTTTAAAAAAACCTTCAAAACATAACAAACAGAAATCTTCCAAGAAATCCTTGACTAAAAACACAGAAAACACAGCCAGATCTGTACTGAAGTCATTTAAAGGCCTTGCTCTGTAAACCTTTTCTCATAACTTACTGATTTTTATGTGACTTAGAATTCACAGCCTGCAGCACTGATATATAAACATCAGAAATCCTTGGACAATATTCATTCTCAGTATGAATGCACTGATAACAATAAAGTAATGTTTAAGCAAGTGGGCAGGATTTCTAATTATTGAAATCAACCATTTCACAATAACGATGGTAATGCTACAGCAAGTTCTTCAAACCAGAAGTGTAATTATTTTTATTATGTGTGAGGAAGAAAGAACACAAGAGGGAACACAAGGACAGCTTTCAAAGCAAAGCAAATAACGGAAATGAGATCAGTTTATAGGCAGCTGCTTTGCCTTAATTGGTGATGTTTGAATGTATCAGGAAATGAAATAAACCTAGCCAGAATAGATTAGAATGTAAAAAGTTAGCTCTAAACATATAATAATGTCACAATCAGATATAGAAACCTTAAGTTTTATTATTCATCAGATAAAAGGCTCATTTAAAGGGCCTTTCTAGATAATTTAAGTAGTCTATAATGAATCAGCAGTTCCAATAAATAAAATTGACAGTCTAATTGTACTACAAGTATGGCTAGCTTTAATTCTACTGAGACATTTAAATTAAGTCTGGTGCTTTTCCTTGCCCCTTTCCTTGAAAGGGTGTTCTTTAGTCTTCCTTAACAGATATTTGCCAGTCATGGAAAAATAAAGGCCATTTTGAGCATATACAGATTTTATGAGACTTTACAGACAAAAACTCTGTGGCTTTCTAACATTCTTCTCTAGTATTTAAAGAAAAACCAAGATATTTCTAGACACTGCTGTGTCTTATGAACTGACCTCTTGTATTTTTCATTTTAAACTTTATTTTTTTCTGGAATCCAAATAGAAAAGGAAAGGGTTTTTTTGTTTGTTTGTTTTGGTTTTTTTTCTTCTTAGTTTCCAGTGAGTTAACAAGGTTTAAAACAAGCTTTGTAGATCTGATTCCTCCACATTCTGTTGTTCAAGCCCGGTGACATCAGTGAAATTGCCTTCGATGAACAAGAGAACATAGTTTGAAATTGTTTCTTATTTTGGAGGTAAAGTTAGGCCAGTTTTTAAATGCAGCCATTTTTCTCTGTACTTATGTATTCATAATCCACAAAAGTAGACATTCTGCAGAAATAATCAGGAGAATACAGATATTCAAGAGGTTTCAGAAGGGATGTACTTCATGCACAGCGAATCTCAATTTTTGCAAAAGCATTGCTTGATGATGCTTGTGTTTATTTTTTTTTTAATCCAACTGTGGCTCTACATACATAGAATCAGCATGAATTTACATATAGTATTTAAGAAACTCATCACCTTTTAAAAGTCTCTTGTACAGAATACACAGGAACCAACTGCTAACGTTGTATGATACGGCTTGCCCCAAAAATCTATTCTTCATTGCAGATATTAAATACCTTGAAAATGCAGTAATTTTTAAGCTGCTTTAAGAAATAGATCATATTGTGGTCCTAGATAAAAGCAGTCCCACAGCATGGGAAATAAATAGCCTTAGAGGATCAGCTTCTGTTATTTCACACGTGTTTTCATAACAAGACAGGAGTTGATGGCCGCCAGTACAGATTTTATTGAGCAGGGAGATGTTACATTGCACAAGTAGCCAAATGAATAGAGAAACAGAGGATACTGAAGGCAGGGGTAAGTCGGGTTAGGAAGACAGGTCCATTTTGCGTAGCTAGATTTGGGGCGCAAGCTGTATTTCCACATGCATTAATGGATATGGGTGTAGACTTTGATGGGACGTGAGGTATCTGTGTAGGCTCTATCTAGTTATTAGCACCATCTGGAGCCATAGATGTGTCCAGTCGCATGATGCAATTACAACTGCCACACAGTTTTCTCTCCTATATGTTAAGGACTCAAGGTAAATTTTATGTACTCTGTTTCACAAGTGGAAAAAATAAGGCAGTTGAATATCTTCCAGCATCTTGATATTCCTGGAGTTCTTGATAATGTGTGTTCCTATCCTGGTTATCATCCTATATGTATGCAAAGCAAGGACTATATTGTCTAAGAATCTTTCTCACATTTTCTATGTAGTGCAACTAATTTAATAACAAAGCCTGAAAAATCCAGGAGGTATGAGACCAAACAACAGTTTCCTTTGAATGAATAATCACAGTTGGACCAATTATTTATAGGCTTGGCGCTGACAGGCTGATATGGCAAGCACATTAACAGCAAACAGAAGGAGCTAAATTGGCTGAAGGTTTCTGAACAGGGATGTCTTTTCTGTTATATATGTGAGAAAAGTTCCAAGAATAAAAAATGTGCCCTTTTCCAGCCTGGGGATTGCTGTAAGCGGGCTGGTTGTAATTAATCTTTTGAATGATGACTTGTGTATTTCCCTGCTGTCAATGTGCTTAAGCTGTCCTGCTGTAAATTACAGTGATACAGAGAAAATTAATCATATTGGACTAAGGAGCACACCAGAAAAAGCCTCTGATGATATGTTTTGGAGCTTATTCTCCTCTGCAATATGAATAAAGAGGTTCCACTGATAATTCCTGGTGACGTGTGTCTGGGAAACTTGCAATTCAGTAGCAAAACATTGCTGTCCAGACTTCTGGCTGAACTAGAGAGGAAATGCTGAACCTACACATATCCAGGGTCTGAAAAATTAGAGCATAGGCTCATTATGTTAACGAGAGAGAGAGAGAAAGCAGAAGGCACTCTGCATATCTGATTGTGTCAGCAATGCCCTAGAGTCTGTGCTTTGCTATAACTTCTGCTGATGCTGCAAGCATAATTAGGCTCAGTTTACAATTTCCTGCTTGTTTTCATATGGTTTGAGGACTAAACTAACAATAAAAGGGGGAAAAATGTAGAAGTATTTTATATTACACTTTATTAGTCTCTCTTGCAACCTTAATGAAGTTGTTCTTTTTACTTGTCTCCCCTCACCATTAGGCCTGGTTTTCACTTGAGTCAGTGTTCGGCCTCTTGTAAGGCTGCCTCCTTAGGTCCTTTAAATGTGCAGTATAAAAATAAAAAGGAAAAGACAGTTTAAGTGCTTTAAAAAAGCACAATAAAAATATTCAAAAAGCATTTCTGATGATTTTTCCTTTTTCATAATCTATGTCTTCCAGTCTATAGAAACTGGAGAGATGGTACTGTGATCAAACTATGTGTTTTAGTACTGGTATTAATGAGGTGCTCTTAAGAAATAAGAATCTTGGAATTTACTGCCCTGCAAAAAGCCAAACCACTTCCCTTCATTTCAAAATGAATATCCTGCTAACTAAATTATTAGCATTTCAGTCACTTTCTTAGAAGATAAATGCATGACTTGATTCTACTTTCCAGTATATGACAGAGTACCTGAAAGGAATAGAAGAGTTCTAACAGCAGTTTTTAGTGCTGGGCATGTTAAACAGCATGTCAGATAACTTCTCCAAAGATATCAGGAATGCTCAGAACAAAAGTGGATTTATTTTTTTGTAATTAGGGAAAACTTTAACTTTTTTTTTTTTAATTTAAATACCTTCATTTTCTACATTATGTACCATTACATATTGTTGACTTACATAATTTACCAAAAGGCTGGGAACTAGTAGGCTTAGCTACCTTTATGCTCTGCTAACTACCTTAGTCTTTTTCTAGAATGATTTCTAACAGGACGAGAAAATAACTCACTGCTGCTTATTAGCTGGCAGCGTTTCTGCTTGAGAACAATTACTTATTCTCGTATGTGTTTTGTTCACCGTCAGGTCATGAAAGTCCTTCTGGAAGTCGTTGTGTGATTTCAGAGTTTATACGACCCCTTCAGATATCTGGAGACAAACCAGAACAATTGTCTGTCAAACCTACATTCCTGTCCAAGTCAAGATCTGCTACTCCAAGATGCAGATTTGATTCAGACGTAAGTCTTTTTTAAATTTGTTACTGAAAGTTTATGTTATGGGGCCAAGATCTCTCTTCTCCAGGGCACCAATGCAGATTGATCCACCTGCTTTTAAAAAGTTAAGACATGAATGGTCTCATTTTCTGAGATAACTTGGGAACATGACCAGTGGGAATTTAACTGATAGTTTCAAAGTCTCAGCTGATATCCTAGTTACACAGCATAAAAAATGGGGGTGTGAGAACCTCAAGCTTCTATGAAAACCTTAGCCTTCACTGATGCATTCAGAATGTTATACTATTTCTGTGTATAAGAAGAAGTGTAAGTCAGCATTTCTGTCTCTGTTTTGGCTCAATGTCTATGTTATGTGGGTTTGTTATTATTATTATATCTACCAAAAGGTGTGACTGATACAGCCTAGGCAAATGGAAGAGAAATTCGATGCAGTGCCCTGTCCAGGCAGGTATACTCTGACAGAGCAGTAGCTCATTCTGCAGGACTTTTTTGCCTGGTTTCCATGACATGTGAATCTTCTCATTACAACTAGGCTAATATCACCTGCTAACAGCAGTTTCCAGCACACTCTCCTCAACTGATTTTGAGCCTGTAACCTGGAAATGAAAGTTGTGGGATGTCATCACTAAACTCTTCCACCATTCAGCTTTACAGCTTGGATTTAATTGTACTTTTGAAAGGTTCTGTTCTTCCTTTCTTAGAAAGGTTTTCTGGTTTTTAGTAGAGTTCTAGTAGAAAGTCACTGGGAAGCTCAGAATAGCTTTACAAAGGTGCCATAGCAAGTTGGATGTTGATATTTAGGACAAATATTAAATATAAGGATGTATAGGACACATTTTGAAAACTTTATGGAAGGGTATTATTTTCTGGTAAATACTGTAAGCCAGTTTTATATGGGCAAACAGCCATGAGAAAATAATCTTCAGATTTTACCCCTCACCTTACAGTCCTGAATCCCATTCTTAATCTTTACGGACGTAAATAAATTGAAACTATGTGCATGCTTTCTATCTATTTTATATTCATTGCTACTGAACCTGTGAAAGTTGATAGAATCAAAATGTTTTTAAATGGCTCACAAGCCTGAGCATGGTGTAGGATATTCAACAAAATATTAAATTCTTGTGTAGTAGGCATTCCATGGGCATGTCTAAGGATTATTCACAAATAAATATATGTATATATTTATGTGTAGCAGCATTACTGAAAAGTGGGAACATCCACTGCTTTTTGAAGAGGCCATAGAAAAAGCAGCCTGAAGTAGTCAAATCAGAAAAAGCAGCTTAGCAACAAGACTTAGGGAAGCAGAACTAACAGCAAGGAACAGAAGAAGTGCACGTCAAATTTAATTCCCTTTTTCTATTATTTTTGAGTTATCTCCCACTGAGAATGTCAAGCTCTCTTTTGCAGAATTGTTCGTTGTGTGCCATCTAGAGTGTAATTATGAAATACATACTTACATTATGCAAGCTCACAGAAATTAAGCTCCGTTCTTTTCTACAGGTATCCAGACTCAGGGGGAGAGTGTATGAATAAAATCTAAAAATAGAGCATAATGCTGTGAAGTCTGAAATACAATAAATGATACTCTGCAAAAATGTATCTGCAACTTCCTTGATTGTTATTAGTAACAAAGTCTTCTAGAATAAGCATTATTGGGTTAGTTACGAGCTTTGTGACATCCCCATAAAAAGGAATCAGGACTATAATCCATGAAAATTTGCCTGCATCCCCAAATGCTAGAGGAGAATACCTGTTAGCTGACTATTACTGTCCTCACTGGAAGTGGAGTGTTGGCAGAATAGTTTGTGTTGTGCTAACTCAACAAGCTAACCTACTTCTTAAGAGTTAATTCACAAGAAAAGTGACGTGACTCAATACTTCTCTGGTGCACTTTGGTTCCATACCAGGAACCAAGCTGGGACCTGTTTAGGCCTGAAAGTTGCAGTTCAATATTCACTCTGTCCAGATTGTAAAGTTTCAATCAATTTGGGACAACTTACCTTATTTGATCCCACTGTTAAAGCTAGTATTTCTAGCTTAATTGAAGTTCTTTCAATCTGAGGGGAAATTTTTCATTTTTACTAAAACGTTTCACAGCAAACTGTAAAATAATTGGAAGAGAGAAGTACATCTCTCACTTTAAAAACTCTACTAGGCTTAAAGCAAAACAGGAAGAATTACTATTTTACCAGTGAGAGCCTTAGTGCAGAGCTAAACCAGGTGGATTCTGTGTTGATTCAGCACAATTTAATCTCCAGGTTTTGTAGACCAGATCTGTAATGGAATAAATGTGTGGCTTTGCAGAATTGAATTAAATATGATGTTAAATTCAGAGGAAATATATTACTTCTTTCAGTTAGTGAAAAGGATGGAATTCAACAGATGCTGCTGCTGTGGATTGGATGGGCAAGGGGGTATATTTTATGTGATACTCATTGTTTCCAAGTGTTTGGAAGTTCAAACTTGCACCAGCTCTAAAGTCAGCATTTGTCACAAGTACTTAGTCACTGGTATTAGGTTTCTACTATTGTTTTCTGATTAAAATATTAGGGTATCACCCTAGGTTGTCTGTGTGATCATATAGCTGTACTATGCCCAGAAGCTCTAGGCATATCACTTACAAAAGGTCATCTTGGAGTAATTAAGTTTACTGTACTTTAATGAAGACTTTAGTAAAAGCTTAGTCAGGAGGGTGAGGTGGTCAGTGAAACTGGTATAGTTAAGCCGTGCCTGTTTCTTTAGTCTGCAGCATGGAAGGGAGTGGTGTGGTCAGTGTCACACCTCCTTCAGCCATCTCCACTGACCAAATGACAAAGCACTGATCTACTGGTTCTTTGTCAGTTTTGCAGGCTTTTGAGGAAAACCAACATCCAGTCTCAGACAAGTTATCTGAATCCCTAGCAAGATGTCAAGGAATTAGCTCAATTTCTTTGCTGTGTTAGAATCTGAATTGCAGTTCCTTTCTAGCCTAAGCCCTTCTAAGTAAAATTAATCAGTTCTGTTCCATGTTAGAATTATTTTAATTTTTTTTATATGTTGCCTGTTCCCTGTCTGATTTATATTGTGTGTCAGGTAAACAGTGCGTGCATCTTTTTGAAATCATATTGTTGCGGTTTTTTTCTTCTCTTTACAGATGGATAATGATCAGAATTCCAATACCTCAAAGCAGAGATATTCTGGGAAAGTCCATCTTTGCATTGCCCGTTATAGGTAGAAAACCCAGCTCATTACACATATAATACATATTTGTAATATTCAACATTTGGTTTTTCTTCACTTTTATTCATGCACTGAATTATTGTGTGGAACCAATGTTATGGATAGCAGACCCCTTTCCTGTTTGCACTAGCTGCAAAATAGTGCCATTTCCATGTGCCATAATTGTCAGAGAAAGTTTAACATGGCATGGCTCTTTTACCCACCACTGTATTTGTAGCCTTCAATTTCTAAATAAGATGAGAATATGTACCTCCTGCTTTATAAAGGATGTCTCAATCTGTTCTTATAAATTGCTTTTTCATCAATGCAAGAAAGATTTAAAAGTTCCTCTCATCTTTGCTTTGCACATTAACATTTCAGATATAAGGTATTGTCACGAAAAAATTTTCAGTGATGAACAATTTATATCAGGATGGATATGGATTTAAATACTTTATAAGAAGTTTTTGTCTGAGTGGCTTATTTTAGCTGTAACTCACTGTTTTTGTTTTTATTTAACTTGTCTCTGTTGAAGTTAAACTCGTGTAAAAGACTACCACATAAAACAAATGGAATATGGGGACTGGAAAAGATCCCCACAACTGAGATTGCTTTAATTCACTTTAAAAAATAAAGAATATTTTGGCCAGTGTATTGAAAGAGACCTAAGTGAGAAATGTGTAAGTAAATTCTACAGAAAAGAATGTGGTTTTAAGTGTATAATGCTTAAGCGAATAGGTTGTGTTTCATGGCAGCCCGTGGGTGATACAGTTACAGTTCACAATAACAAACTGACTTAGACTCCACTCAGAATATATGTTTTAGAAGGAAAGCAAAAAGATTGAACTGAGGAATTGCCTTCCTGTGCAGCCTTAGAACTGTACGCCTTTTTCTGATTATTGTTCAGCTGTGTGAGGGTTGTGAGCAAACACGTATGTCTTCCATCTGTACTCCATTGCAGTTACAACCCTTTTGATGGACCAAATGAAAATCCAGAAGCAGAGCTCCCCCTTACGGCAGGAAAATATCTTTATGTGTATGGAGATATGGACGAAGATGGCTTTTATGAAGGTATTTTTTTAATCTGTGAATTCATGCTAATTCATGCAGATTCAAATCAGTTCATCTGTCAAACACGGTCCCAGTTCTTTCCTTCATCTACTACCAAATCAGTTGCTAAAATTACCCCATCATCATCGTGTTGATTAACAGAGTTTCTGCACCAGCAAAGCTGGTCCTTGCAGGCATAGCTAATTATAAGATATTTTATATTGTCAGCTTTTCCTGCTGGCAAGATTTAAGTTGACAAGAAAGCTTACTAGCAGTTCTGGTTTTTGCCTTACTGAGCCTTTACAATCTCAAACTGTGAATGTTGGTTCTGTATGGTTTTCACTTGTATCATCTTCTTCCTTAACATGTCCACTTGCAAGGCATCGACGTGGCTCCTTCAAGGATTTTAATGGCATTGTTCTTTCTCACTAGGGGAACTTCTAGATGGACAAAGAGGACTAGTCCCTTCAAATTTTGTAGATTTTGTTCAAGACAATGAGACCCGGTTATCAAGCACATTAAGCAGTGAACAAGATCAGAATTTTATCAACCATTCGGGTCCTACTTTGGAAGGAGATCTCTTGGAGATAAGTCCACCAAGTCACGTAGACTCTAGTGTAATCAGCAATGGCGGAGGGACTCTGGATGTGAACATTGATGAAATTGGAGAAGACATTGTGCCTTATCCTAGAAAAATCACCCTTATTAAACAACTAGCCAAAAGTGTCATTGTGGGCTGGGAGCCACCAGTAGTGCCACCCGGATGGGGAACCATTAGCAGCTATAATGTTCTGGTTGACAAAGAAATACGGATGAACGTAGCCTTGGGAAGCAGAACGAAAGCTCTTATAGAAAAGCTTAACATTTCTACTTGTACATACCGAATATCAATTCAGAGCATTACAAACAAGGGTAACTCAGATGAACTGCAGTGCACTTTGTTAGTTGGGAAGGATGTCATAGTAGCCCCCTCTAATCTTAAAGTGGATAATATAACCCAGATTTCTGCTGAGCTGTCCTGGCTCCCTACAAATAGTAATTACAGTCATGTGATCTTTCTTAATGAAGAAGAATTTGACATTGTCAAGGCTGCTAGCTACAAGTACCATTTTTTTAATTTGAAGCCCAATATGGTCTACAAGGTGAAGGTCGTGGCAAAGCCCCATCAGATGCCCTGGCAGCTTCCCCTGGAACAACGAGAAAAAAAGGAAGCCTTTGTGGAATTTTCTACATTGCCAGCAGGTTTGATATTTTTCTCCCTACCCCAAAACTCACCAGTTAAGTTTCTCTGAAAATTCTAGATAAATTAATCTAACCTTTAGCTTTATGCTGTAGCTTCTGTCACATTCATGAGCAGACTGGGGATTATTAGATTGCTTTATGGTATCTAAAATTAATTCCAGTCCTGTGTTATTCTCTTCTTTGTTCCTGTGTAAGGACTGAAGCATTTTTGGTAGATAAACAGGGGAAAGCCATGCTTATCATCATCGCAGATCACACATTAAGTGTTTTATCAGATTAATCTCCATTTGTATTTAATTTGTCCAGTTATAATATTTCTGTTAGTAATTTATTTTTATTGGTGTGAACAACACTGGCTAAAAAACAGTTTGAATTTGTAAAGATAACAAATTGGTCATGTTTTGGAAAGTCCAAGGTTTTTTGGACTTGCTTTTACATTAGGAATGTTGATAAGTGTTACCAGTCATTTCCCACTATTTAAGAACATGAAGTGGTGTTGAAAACTAGAGCTGAAATAAATTAGTGCATTTAATGGATAATCTCATAATTTTGGGTGTATATGGCAATACCTGAAAAATTTGAACATCTCTCCTTATAGATTCATCTAACCAAGTCTATCTAATCAAGGCCAAGTAAAAGGCTCCTTATATGTTCAGACTTTCAGAGCATTGAATGCCCCTGAAGCAGGGACAGTCAAATACAAGTGACTCCTGGCGAGTGAAATTTCAATAGCATATACTGTGCTGTGGCTTAGTTGACTCCCTGCTGGGATTCGGTTCCAGCAAAGATGCAGGAATTAGTTCTGGTTTCTTCCTCGGCTTGTGTGACTTATATGTAAGGAGATATGCAGGACAGTAATGCTGATTGAGTAGAGAGGGAGTTAAGCTTGTATGTCTACTGTTTGTGATGCTGCTGATTTATAGTTTCAGTAGAAATGTCATCAGCTCAGGCATTTACTCTTTTGTCTTAAATCATTTGGGAGATAAGCGGTACTGCTGTTACAGAATCTGCTACGAAGGGTTGCATTTTGAACTTTGTGTATGTTCTGTGGGAGTTGGGAGATACTGCCTAGATGGTGGCTTGAACTTATTAGATATTATTAGATAATTGACGACTTTGTTACTTGGGAAAGGCCTTTTGAGTGAGTTTTTTTCAGGCCAAACACTTAATGTGCTATATCTCCCTCTAGTTGCTGAAGTGTGCTAAAGCAATAAATGAACTGTTCTCTGTTGAGGAGTTAAAATGCAGCAAAGCCTCTGCTTTTAGATCCAGAGATCCCAGAATCTTCCCATCATGTCATTCCAGAGAGGGCGTTTTTATAAAAGCATGTAAACTTTTCACTGTTATATAGCAAAATAAAATAGTAACTGTTGAAGTGATTAGAGGCTGATGCTTGTATTTCAAAAGCCATTGAAAGAAAGGGAAAAGAATGCCCATGAAATCAGTCAGCAATGGGAGTTACTATAATAGTGTGCCATGTTTTTCTCTTGCAAATATTACTGGTTTTGAGTAGTCACGTCTCTCTTCTTCCAAACTACAGTTAAAAGAAAGAAGTCAAAAGAAAAAAGAAAAGTATCTTAATGTGACTAATACTGGGGTTTTTCTCAAACTCTGCATTATTTTTCCACCTTAAGTACCATCAGTTGATCTACACTGTAAGGGACATGTTTCAAAGATGATTTATAATATGCTGAGAGAGCAATACAGATATTCTGTGTGAAGGGAATCTTTTATTATTGTGCTTCTCTCGAAGATGCATGGGAGTGAGTGATGTCACATAAACTTTAGTTGTGGTGAATGTCAGGTTTAGGAGTCAGTGCAGCATGAACTTAACAAGCCACAGGCAGCTGCTAATATTTGTAGTGACATTTTTCTAAGGGCTTCAGATATGTTTACAAATGAATACATGTGCTCGCTTTATTTGAAGCTGAGAGGCTCTGCTCTTTACTAGTGGGTTCAGTGATATCCTTGTAGAAAAGGGTACTATCAGCCACTTATACCAAAAAGGGAGTGCGGATCAGTGAGTATTTTAAAATTTTGACACTGTATTAATCTCAGGAGTTTTTTGGGAATACATTAAGCAAAAATGAACTTGAGATAACTGCTCACATTTCAAAGCTAGAGAGAGCAGTTACATAAAACGTATAAGGCAATTAGAGGTCACCTTTTCATTTTTCTCTTTGCATAGATATATCATGTTTTGCATGATTTATACTTGGAAACACATTGCTTCCTGTCAGACCAAAGCTGGGTGGCAGGTCTTTGGTTGCTGAGCAATTGAACTCCTCTTCTTGATTCATCAAAGCATTAGAATTGCTTAAGTTAAAATAGAAGTAGTTCTCTTTTGGGTGCTCAGATCTAAAAATAGACATAAGTATACACAGGATTGGGATCGATGGGACTGTTACGGTTTTTAAGCTAATTTAGGTAATAAATTCATGAAGATCAAACTGTAGCAGAATTCTGAAATGAACATTTATGTTGATGACCAAGACCATCACGAGTCATCAAAAGTAATTTCCCATTTAATGCTGGGGGAAAATAGAAACCATACTAAGCCTTGGACATTATGGTTTATTAAACCTGTCTGTGTTACAGCCTGTGATGATTGAGATAGATGCTCTGGGGATTGTTTGGTTTTGGGAGAACGCAAGGAAGGTGACTTCTGCAGGAGCAGATTAATATCATTGTCATAGACAAGATACTGGACTAGATGCGTTCTCTCTTGTAAACTGAGGAGCTTGGCTGGATTGGGAGTGCTGGCCGTCAATAAAATAGGATGGTCAGGGAAGCTGAAATTCAATCCTAAATCAAAAATCTTCATCTTAGCCAAGAATAGTATTAGGTCAGTTTGCATGCTTTAGCCTTGCAAGTTAAAAATACATTATAGGTGCAAGGGATGGCATAGGCAAAATTTTCATGTTGTGCCTGTAGTGTATGAACATGACCATAATTTCATTTCCGTGCCCACTAGAGGATGAAATTCAGTGACAGCAAACTACAGAAATGCATTGATGGTTTGCCAGCATATCTGGAGGCTGAGGTTTGTGTGATATTTACACTTGTATCATGATCTGTTTTGTAGCAATGAATGCACACAGTTAAAATATTTATAGCTTTTTTGGTAGATGAACAGAAATTGATTGTGCTTAGTTCACTGACAAAAGCAAACTCACAGCAACCAAGATTTGCATTCTCCCAGCTGTTACCCAGAGATGACTACAGCTGAACCCTGCTTTTGAAACGTTTTAGCATGAAACACTGCTCAGGGTTTGACTGTTAAATTAACACAACAGGATGCCTGAAATATTAATGAACTGATAATCTCTATGATATTTTTACTTTGGCTTTCTGTACAAAGTAGAACTATTTATAGTAGGGTAATAATGTCTTTTAATTAAGGATGTCTACTTGGTGTGCTATTACACTAACACACTGTAAATGCCTTAAAAGATTAGTAGGCTTATTTTTTTCTCAAGTGCAGAGAAAAGACTTTGAGTCCAGTTGTCCTTTAAAGCACCATGCTGCTGGTTGAAAAGGTTAAAGTTTCAGCTTGCTTCTGGCCCATAAATTATGACTTAGAGCCACTGATAGTCCAGAGAGGCAGAATTTGAAAGTTATTTCTGAGTATGCAGTATGCATTCAGTGCAGAGATATATACCAGAGTAACTTGCTGTTACCTGCAGCAGTTTTCCACTAAGTGCCACTCCTGGGCCTTTTTCTCCCTGCATTTTTCCGTTAACATCATCTGCATTCAAAGAAAATAGCAGTTATGCAGCCTGGAGGGATAAAAATGGGTCCAGAGCAAGTTGAACGTACAGACTATTTTGCAAAGAAATACAGCTTAGTTACTGGCTGTAAGCTGAGAGTCAGTTCCTGGCTCCATGACCTGCTGACTTCTGTTTTCACCTAACAACTGCAATAAAGGATATTTTGTCATCTTAAAAAGAAAAAAATAATGTAAAAATAATGCTTTGAGACCTGTAGTTCCCAACTTGCAAGTATATCAGTTGACATATATACTTCTGATCTAAGGCTCAACAGTGACCAGTCTTGTCTGTCTTAGGTCCTCCAGCTCCACCCCAAGATGTTACTGTACGGGTTGGGTCCACCCCAGCAACCATACAGGTGTCCTGGAAACCACCAACTCTGACAGCAACAGGGACCTCCCATGGCGCCAATGTCACAGGCTATGGTGTTTATGCAAAAGGTCAACGGGTGAGTTCTCCTTCCAGCGTTACAGTGACCATCTACATTAGGTGAATTTCAACTGACAGGTAGAGGCAAGGATAAACATGTGACAGCACTTAAATGTGTGCAGGGTTTTCTCAGTTTTCTGTAGAACCTGCTCTTTTGTTTGTGCATAACTTGCTCATTAGCTTTCTTTCTATAAGCACATAAGCTTTTGGACAAATGGGTTGAAAGGATTAAAGATAACTGGTGCTAATTAGCGTGGAGCCCTAATGTGAGCTCTTGCAGTCCACTCTGTGTTAACTCCATGTTAAGACCTTGGAGGTTGTACTTTAGTGGGGTTGAGGGGAGGGAAACAGATGTCTTCACGGTAGTAAGTTGCTTCTTTGTGTACTCAGGTGGCAGAAGTGATCTATCCGACAGCAGAGAACACATTGGTGGAGCTAATGAGACTAAGAAGTTTGGAAGCAAAGGAACTTACAGTTCGAACGCTCTCTGCACAAGGGGAATCAGTGGACTCTTCTGTTGCTGCCATTCCATCTGACCTACTGGTGCCTCCAACCCCTCACCCCAGAACTGCTCCCAAATCTAAGCCATTAGCAAGTGCCGGAGCCCCAGAAACCAAAGAAGAACATTTAGGTCCACATTTAAAAATGGATGAGTCATGGGAGCAGACTCGTTCAGCATCCCCTGTTCATGGACACATGCTTGAGCCACCTGCTCCTAACTTTCCCAGCCCGCTTCAGGGGAGGAGGTCTCCATCGCCTAACCGAATACTCCCTCAACCTCAAGGCACACCTGTCCCAAATACTGTCGCAAAAGCCATGGCAAGAGAAGCTGCACAACGAGTTGCAGAGAGCAATAGGGTAAAGGCAAACTTTTTTTTAAGGCTTTTTGGGCTGGCTTTATTCATTGTGGCACTTTGCATCAAAGAATTTTTTGTATCATATGCTTTAAGGAGCAGCTAATCATTTCTAAACTCTGAAGATCCATAGTTTGAGAAGAAGCAGTGTGCTAAAATTCTGTGCCATCTTCCACAAATATGGTTGTAACCATAAAGATCAGCCTTTGGTCAGCAATAGAAACCTCATAACATCACTAGAAATGTCTCCAAAAATGCAGAACCTCACTTCTGAACAAGATAGGAATTATTAAAGTTTGTGCTTGGATCCTGTAGGAGTCAAAAGGGAGTCTTGTGCCTGTGAGAAGTACTAAAGTACTTTGAAAGAGACCAAAACAATAAAGGGCAGTTTAAAAATGGGTCCAGAAATAGGTAGGTAGACAAAAGTCCTGAGCAGACTTACCATGAGAGCTAATCTTTCTGACACTTTACAAAATGAGAACAGTGTAATTTCTTAAAAGGGACTCTAACCAGCAGTCAGATGAGACATGTTTGTATTCTAAACCCATCTTCTTTTTCAAAACAGCAAATAGCAGTTTAGATGCCACATAAAGCACTATTTTGTGCGCTGTCATGGATATACAGGCAATGTTACATATTTACTCTTCAAGAGTGTCCCTTTCTCAGTGCTTACACCTTCACAGATATTTACAACTGCTCCAGCATAGCTGCCAAATGAAAGCTTTTCATTACAGCTCCTTTTGTAGCTGCTGGAAGTATCACTGCCCAAAGGAGACTCCCTCGTTTTGAGACCATTATGGCCCATGGCTGCTGTAGTGACTTAGGTGTTTGCTAGTGAATTTAAATCCCATATTCGAGGCTCTTGGGTCAGCATAGCTGATACACATGCATCCTGACAGCATGCTCTGGTTTTCCTACCCAAGCATACAATATTTAAATACCCCCTGGCCAGTTACTTTCTCATCACAAGCTGCTCACAACTTTTACTTGTTTCAAGCTCTGGTGTCACTTTTTTTGATGCATTCTCTTGGTCCTTCATCTGGCAGTCATTAATTTTTATGTCTAGTATTCCATCTCCCATTGTATCTCCAAAATAACTCCATTAATTTTGACAGTTCACACATGTCTTAACAGCCCCAACTTATTGACTGTCCCTGTTTTGGGATAGAATTGAGCCGGTTGAGTGATGATACAGCTTTTGGGAAGCGGAGTAATTCTGGATCAATAAGATCTGCTTAAATACATATATGTTCATGTGTATATTTCTTCCTTTTCTTTATAAATAAAGCAAACCAGAATAAATGTAATAGAGGGATAAAAGGCAATTAATTTCTTTGGTACTCTGACGTGAAAGTTGATTTAACAACCATATAGGGAAAGAGAACTGAAATACTTTCTCTGGTTTTGAAAATTGCTGACATAACATATGCTCTGAACCATGTTTAATTACATTAATTTTAGTGATGCTTGAAATGTTTAATCCAGGGATCTGGACAGAAGTTTACAGATGGATTCACATTAAATTAAATCAAATTCTGCCAATGATATTTGTCATGTTTAGTCCCCAGTAGTAGAAATTCTTCCCTTGCAGTAGGCTGGTACAGAAGCTGTGTGTCTTCTCCCTGCCCTTCATCCAGCCTGTTAGATGGCTCATGGTTATTGTCATGAGAGTAAGCAGCTGGATTCAGTAGCTGAGGGTAAGAGTCACCTCAGAGCAGAGGAAGAGCACGAAGTCTCATTCTATAGCTTTTTTGGTATGGAGGTCAAAAATGCTGTAGTGGCTAGGTCTTCTGCTAACCTTCTGCCAAGGGGAAATTAGTGTCTTCATTAGCAGCCTCTGACTTGTAGCATACTGAGAATTTTGACATAAGTGGTACAGGGAAGAAAGCTAGCAGCTGAGTTGATGGTCACATAAAAGCATATAATTGTTTATGAGTGAGAGTAATATGACAAGCAAAAAATTCTTGAAAACTAAAAGGTTACAGTCAGGGGAAACTAACATTGCTTTAAACCAATGTCTATTTAGATGTTGTGTTATTGAGTCCTTATGTCTTATGTTTGTGATTTCTTCCATTGGTTGCAGGAACAAATCTGCTTCACAATTTTCCATTTTTTGTTTTGTTGCCAGATGGAGAGAAGGAGTGTTTTTAGTGAAAGGAGTAACGCAGCCCAGTACGCTAACTCAGATGATGAAGAAGATGGCTATGATTCTCCTAATATCAAAAGAAGGGGAGCTTCAGTTGATGATTTCCTGAAAGGATCAGAACTTGGAAAGCAAGTAAGTAGCCTGGTCTTGTCGGACACCTGACACAAGAACATGAAACAAGTATTTTATGAAGCTAAGCAGGCTATCCAGGTCACCATCTGATTATTGTAGGCATATTGGTAAACTACACAGACAAGCAGCTAAATTGTGGGGAGGTAGATGAATGTCCTGTTACTGGAACATAACTGTCCAATGGGAACTGAATGCTTGGCACCATGCACTTATAGATCGTTATTGCAAGCAACAGTCTTAAGCACTGGAAACTGAAAAAACTGGAGCTGAAAATGTGACTGGAATGTCATATTCAGGCTCTGGGGTTTTTTTGTATGATGTGTTACGACTGCATATGAAAACATGCTGTGGGAAAAGGGGAAGGATTTTTGTTTTACATAAAAGCCATAACCTATAATCCTAATTAGCAGAACACCAACACTATATACTTGACATGCTGTAATGAATAGAAAGATGTTGTCAGAAGAATTTTGCACAGCTTTTAGTCTGATCCCACTGAAAACAAATATGAAGTAATTTATTACATTAATTTCAAGGGAGATGTAAATTCTAGTAAAGAGATATTTTCCTATGTCTTAGCATGATGGAATAATCTTGTTAGCTAACCATCTGACCTCCCATGTTAAAGGGTCCAAGCAACAGTATTCCTTCTCTTACTGGTTTTGAGACTTTCTGGAATTTTGGTTCAGTTTATTATAGACGTTCAAGTATTTATAAATGTATAAACATTGTTTCAAATTTCCAGTGTTCTAAATATGTGGCTTCAGGATTTGATTTGGTTCCATCTTCACATACAGTGGTCCCCATTTTTAGAGTACGTGCAATCACACTGTTCTTCCAAAATGTGCTGGTGGATGAGATGCATCTCTACCTCTGTATACAATTAAAATTATTCTAAACACAAAGATTTTCTAACAGGACCAGTGATCTTATTAAGAACGCCCAGTGTAAAAAGTTTAGAGTGTTTGTAAGGGACCAAGGTAAATAAACTTGGAGGTATCTACCATGTGAGTACAAAGTCGCGGCTCCATGTGGATTTACTACCTCAGATCATTAAAGGGTGAGTAGGAGTACATCTGCTTTACCAAGCTCTACAAAATAACAGGTTTAGATATGAATACTGGAAGGCTGGGAACCCTTAAAGTTATATTCCTTGAAGCCTAAAAAGAGTAAGCTCTCTTATCTACTAGTTACATCCTCAAAGCTAGATTTGAAATCTCCTTGGCTGCAAGTACTCTCAGATCTGATTAGGTTTTAAATTTAGTTTTCATGTAAGGCTGAAAGAATTCCTCACTGCTTTAAAATGCTGTCAAAAATGCACTTTGAGAAATAGCAGTTAAATTATGTCTGGCAAAACAGCTGTGGCATGTTAAGTGTAAATTGATTATTAAATGTTTATTTTATAGCTTCACGAGATATAGCTATTTGTAATTTAATTGCTCATTTGCATTTTTATGAAAGATGATCACTTTTACCGCTTGCTTTGTTAGTTAAGAAATAATTGGAGAAAATTGGAGAAACCTCATCTGTGGTGGTTTTCTCCATAAGAAATTATTAGTTTACTAATTTCATTATAATGCTTATGTGCTGCTGCTGTCTTCCAGAAGCAAGTGCTATTCTGTATGCTGGTTCCCTACCAAAGGTCTCTGCCTTTCTATCAGTTGACTTGCCTTAATCCATAGATAAGAGTAAAAAAACTGCCAGCAAATGCAACTAACATTAATATTTTTTCATCAAGATTGTTATTAGCATTAGACATGGCTACTAATGGAAATCCTTCATGTCTGCCATGTTGTGTTTTGTCGGAAGATATATTGATTTTAAACTCCCCCATTTAAAATGCTCCACAGGGAAGGGTGGCATGGATCACAATTCTGAAACAGTGGTGCAGTATCAGTCTGTCACAGACTTTCTTTGTGAACTTAGAAAGTTAATCTTTCTTGCCTGGATCCTCACAAGTATTTATGCATCTAAATATCTCAATACCTCTGAGGATCTGGGTCAGTGGGCCTGTCAACCAAGAATAAAATGGGAATAATAATTATTCTTTTTGTCACAAAAATGTTTGAAGATACTGTTTTCTGCAAGCTGTTGATTTGCTCTGTAAATAGATAATAAGGACAAGGGAAGTAAGTATCGGAGATAGTCCTGAAATTCCGAGACAACTTGGCACACTTGCGGGATAGGCAGCACTAGAAAACATGTGAAATAACCACCACAGGTGCATGGAATATATGGCCATAGAGTATGGCCACTGGAAATCTGCATGTGTGAATGCACCTAGTTATTGAACACAGAGTGTGTATGCCCTATTCCATGCAGAGTTACTTGATTGCAAGCAGAATTGCATGATTATTGCTTATATAATATCTCCTAGTTACATTTTATACCTTAATTAATGTAGTGCTTGAATTGGAACATTTATTTAAACAATTGAGTGGCTGCTTAGCAAGGCAATGCTGTTGTTAAAACCACAATGGATAAGCTTGGAGACAGTTTGCTAGGTTTCTGTAGTCTGATTGCCCAAGCAATCAGGGCTTTGTTCCAGCAGTATTGGCCTTTGATAATCTACAAGGCACTGTGCATTCTGTTGGGCAAGTTTTGTAGTACTGTGCCAGTGCAACCCCCAAGTCTGTTGGGATACAGCCGAGAACAGGAGTGCAGGAGTGATTTCCTGTGAAAAACAGGATCAAGATTCTGCTGGAATGGAACTGATGACATAATAAAATTTAGTATAAAAGCCACAAAATTTAAATGTGAAAAATGAAGCATTAGAGTATAGTCTGATCTTTTAACGTAAAAAAGAAACCAAAACCATTGTTAACCTGCAGTGGCTTTTTTTCTAAGTTGATCCTAATATAATACATCTGAAGAATCTGAAAACATTTATGGGCTTGACACAGAGAATTACTACTAAAGGCTTCACACTACAATCTTTTTAGCTCTGTAATTATCTTCAAAGAATTAAAAGAGGAAAAATTACCTCCTGTATTTGGAGGGCAAATCCATCTTCGCTTTGGAGAAATTGCTTATTGTAGACGTTTTCTTCTCATTGCTGGGATTGATTGATATCAGCGTTTTACATAGCTATGGGAATTGATCTGGTACCACAGAAATTATTTCTTCATTAGTATTGCTGGGGGAAGGAATGCAGTAATTTCTAGCATTGTAGTACTTGTAGAATATTTGATCCTTCAAATATTCTACTGCAATCTGACAGACACATGCTTCCATTTGAAAATTTGTCCTTGCAAATACAATGAGTTTGGTTTATGATCTGTTAGATGTAATGTTTTGCTGAAGCCACTTCTATTTAACAGTAGCAATTCAGTAGGACATACTTTTTCCTCCTTCCAACTAATTGGAAACTTATGGGAACTTGAAATATTTGGCCTAATTTTAAAAGACAATTAAGGTTTTAGCCAGTCTATTCCTACAGTATTTAAGAGAATTAAAGCTTCAAATTCCATCAGCTAGCTATATTATACAATGGTAACATCCTGCAACAATTAAATGCTGATCACTTTTAAATTACAATGTGATGCAACAAACAGCTGTGAAGAACAGATGATATGTGAATTATCCTAGGGCTTTTACAATTTGGTCAGCAAGTCCATTGATGCATGAAGGACCTCTTTAAATCAAGGGAATTTAATCAAGACTAAAACTAGATTTGGTGCTGTGAGTGCAGACATCCTTTTTTTTTTGTATCACCTATGGGATCAATAGATTTTTTTTAAGTGAGAGCATAAATGGGCAAAAAAAATGTATAAATAATCTCTCCACTAGAATAGAGCAGCAAGCCACATGATGTAATTTGTATGTGGGTATTAGTGTGATATTCAAACCTAGGAAATGCTCTAGTCCTCATTGGTGTTATACAAGGATTTTCAGCTTTACAGTCAGTAAAGATTTCTCTCTCTCACCCTGTCGATTAGCCTCACTATTGCCATGGTGAAGAGTACCATACAGAGAGCAGCAGAGGTTCTGACTTGTCTGATATTATGGAAGAAGATGAGGAAGAGCTGTACTCTGAAATGCAGCTGGAGGATGGAGGAAGGCGACGAGTCAGTGTGACTTCACACAATGCACTTAAGGTAAGTGTGACTGCAGAGAAACCTTAGGAGTACCTCCATATTTTGATTCTTCCTTCAAAGCATTTCTTTTAATCAATTAGGGATTTTGCAGACCATTAAAACTCACACTGTCGTATAGTCCTAGAACTGATGTCAAGGCCACTTTAATACATTTATTACTTTTTTCTTTTTTTTCTCATTATTTGATAGCTAATCTTTCAACTAATTGACTATTTTCCTATATGTAATTGTTGAAGTTGCAATATCTGTTCTATATCTGGGGACCTTTCCCATGTCTATATGACAATATACTACATGTGCTACCCTGACAATGAGTTCTAAGCAAGGAGATTTATATAAACATACATACATATAGAAGAAAAAACAGCTTAGGTTTTTCATGTCTCAGTAATTTGTCCCTGTTTCCAGTGCTAGTCCCATCTCTTCCACAGGCTTTAAAGCATGCTTGTAAGAAAGGAAGTTGGGTCAGCTTGTTTTGATAAATGCATTATTAGAAATTCTCGTGCTCTGATTATTAAGGAATCACCAGATACAGTAGGAAATACCTATCAGAAATATTGCTTTAACATGACACAGGAATATTAATCATGAAAGACAACTTTAGTATAACAATTAAAGTATACGTAGAATGTTGAACCTATCCAATACAGAATATATGTTTCCCATTGTATATTTGTATGTGTAAATTGTATTTGCATTTTATGTGTCTAGCAATTACACTAAATTGTGTTTTCTTAGAAAGTTGGATAATTTGAATGATAAGGAAACCCACAGGTTGATATTTCTTCCAATATGCTGCCATTTAACTAAAAAGCAATACTATTTTCTCATGCGTACAAGAACTTTGACCATTCCTGTAACTGCTTTCATGTACTATAAATTCAGTCCTTTTATTCTGATACTATCTGGAATGAGACAGGTACTTTTTCAAAAGAAAAGTGTTTCTATTATTCTGTTAACATAAAGGTTGAAACGTAAGTCCTTCTGCATGCTGCTTCTGTCCCTTTCCTCTGGGAAAAAGTGAATTATCCCTAGGCTGTTCTTGTTCTTTATGCATCAGAAAGTATATTTACTTCTTGGTTTTAAATTAGTATTGCCAACGTTGATATTTAAAAAGAAAGGTCCAGGCCCTTAATTGGCATAGTAAATAATTTTAGACCTGTTAAAGTCTGCAGGCATACTACTCTTGATGTAGTAGTGTATGTGAAGGGTACACGGTTGGTTGACTCATTCTGCAGAAGTGGAATTCAGTATGTGAGTACTTCCTGGGGAAGGACTCATGGATGTGATTTGGAGAATATGGCTCAACATGCTGATAATTTTCTGATATAAAATGCAGGTCAGATTCTGATCCCAAAGCGCTCAATAATTTCCCCCTCTTTCACAATTCACTTTACATCAATAATTAACAAAAAAATGAAAACCAGGTTTACTGAATTTTCCATAATGTAATCAGATTCCTGTTCCTCTTACATCTGAAAGTATGCCAACCATGCCCTTACAGCCGTAATCGAGTATTCTCTCCTGAGTTAATAGATGCCCCCAAGTAACAAGAAGACATTTTGCTTGCAGATATGTATTTGCTTTATTGGGAAATTATTATTCCCTCCGATGATTCCCTAAAACAAAGGCTGACATGGGTGATCAAAGGAAGATTCAACTCACTGACCTGATCTGAAGGTTCTAAAATGTGAGATATTTGAGCCCCAATCAAAACTATCCTTGTTCATATTTATTGACTTTTTTCCACTTTCATGGCAATTTGTCTCGAAAGTTTCATAAATGTGACAGACATTTTAAAAATGAATGAAAATAGGTGAAACAAATATAGTCATAAAGTAACTTACAAAGTTCCTAATGCTTGAATGGGGAAGACATCCAAAACTCAGTTAAATTTAACATGCTCAGAGAGAGATGTATTGCTGAGTCTCCAAGATGATCTTGTCATTGTTTATGGGTGCTGTTGTGTCCAGAGACCGACCTGATCTGGGCATTGAATAATGTACGAGGAGAGGTGATTTCCATGATGTAGAATTTATAAACCATGTCAATCAAAACCAACACCTCCTGCATCATTATTCCATGGTCTCTTCTCAGAGTCCAACAAAGGTACTGCATAGGATTCTTTGGTTACACCAACCTGTGTTTTGTGTAAATATAATAGAAAAATTACAAAATGTATCTATCGTGTTCAGAATGCTTATTTTATCCAGGCTGGGACAGTTTTTTACCTACTTCTGGTATAAAGAGAGATTTTTTTTTTTACTTCTGCTAATAGGCTGATTTTCAAATATTGGTTTTATCAAGCAGGTACAAGATTATGATGAGAGATCTGATGACAGTGCAGACCAAGTGACATCAGAGAGCAGCATGCTTCTCAGGGTTCTTTCTGTGGAAGCCAAGCTTTAAAAATGGTGCCATTTTTTTACAATTTTATGAAGGAAACTAGAACACCTTTAATGATGTCTACAGAATAGCTCTCCTCTGGGAGGAGATGTAGGGAGTATTTGCTATTCATACAGGATACTTTAACAGATGCAAAGCAAAATGCTTGCTAGAATGGAATTTTCATTCTCAGATACGGGTTCTGGTTACATAGAAAAATTATATAGCAATTTGGCATGGGGCAAGGAACATACTAAGCATTAGAGCTGCGTTTTAATGCCATTCTCATTCACCATGCTGAAACCTGTATGCAGCTTTTATTGCTTTGTTTTAAATGCATGGGTTTATTCTTGTTAAGAGCATCACTCAGTTGTTTGTACTGACCTCTCATGTTGTACCTGACACCCAGCAACTTCTTAATCACGTCCTTATTTTTCACAGATTCTCATTCAAAGCATGACATCCTTTTCACTAAATAAGCTGCATGTCTTATGTTTGCCATTGCTCTAAAACTAATTCTGTCTTTATTTTTCTTTTCTTCTCCCTTTTCCCTCCCATTTTATTTTTGTCACACACTATTTGTTCCCTGTCTGGTTTTTAACATTACATAATCTTAAGGAGTGCGATAAGAATAAGAACACTGAAGCCACATTTTTGGAACAGCCTGACTTTTCACAGCAGATACATCACAGTAAAAAGCTTTTCAGTATTCCAGAAGTAGCTGAAGAGGATGGTGAATACTCTGAACTGCTGTACAAGCAGGGTTTAGGTATGCCCTATAAAAAGAATCCCACAATAGCTAGAGACTCTAGACTACCTAGGCCCTACAATCAAGACCAGCAGCACAACTTCTGGTACCCAACCAAGCACAGAATTTCAGGCATGGAGGATTTTGCTGCAGACGACAAAGGATGTAAATATAGCCGATCCTTATCGAGAAGCCCAGACAGTGGACTTGACTGTGGAAGTGAAGAAGAAGAATCTCGGTTCAATTTCAGATATACTTGTGATTCAGTTTCTGCCAACGTTGCATCTAGCTGTTGTGCAGAGACTGTTAACTGTTCCTGCAGGAAAAGCATGAGGCCATTGCTTGCTCGCAGGAAAACTTTAACCAGACAAACCAGCATCGAAGAAGATTTTGGTGACCTGGGTCCTTCCTTTGTAGAGCCCAGGAGTGAACAGGTCAAGCCCAGTTACGAGAAAAAGTATGAGACTCAGAAATGTAATAGAACAGATAATTTGTCTAATGAAGATGTTCAGGGAGGCTGGAAGACCGACTTAAAAATGGCTGACTCTAGGGCAGCTGGTCTACTTGCAAAGCCATCCCACAGAGATGCAGAAGACTCTCTGGTGTGTGAAATAAATCTTCCTTCTAACGTCTGCTTGCCAAATCAGTCTGTTTTCTTTCTTTTGTTCTTTTCTTTTTCTTTTTTTCCTGAATTAATTTTCAGAGTCCATCCTTTGGACCTATCTGCTACATTTTTCCTTTTTTTTTCTCCTCCCCATTCATTTTTGTTTATTATTCTGCATTTTCCTTTACAGTCCTCTTTTGTGTCATGCTGAAATCAGTTTAATTTGCTTTACAATGATTTTCCCACAGAACAAATTATAATAATGGCTGCTTTTATTAAAGGACAACTGAATCTAAATTTTAATTAAGGGTTAGCTGAACTATAATTTTTTCCAAAAGATTGTTTTTCTTTATTTTGCCCATCTAAATGTTGCTTTAAAAAAAAGCTGCATTTTAACTGGAAAAAAAATTCATCAGTTTTTGGTTTTTTTGTGTTGTGTTTTGGTTTGTTTTAATGTCGAGGAATTCATTTCATCATGTTGTTTTTGTTAGCCTCATTCCCAGAATTTTCAGGATATGCTCTTTATAATGAAACATCTCCAGACAAGAATCAAGATTCTCCCCAGTGTGACAGTGACCCAGATTTATGTAGTCACAGGTTTCATCATATTTCCATTTTCTGCCTTATCTCTGCACTGTCACTACTTTGCCTTCCTTTTTAGACCATCTCTTCTTGCCTTTGAAGTTGCAGACTGCATCTCTGCATGAGAATGCAGGCAAACAGCTTCTTCCAAAGGGAGAGGCCAGGGCCATTCCATATCTTTCAAGGATGTCTCTGCGTGATCTTGCCTATTTGCATTTCTGTCCATTAATCTATAGCAGTCTCTCCACACTTTGATAGATGCATCCATAGGCTTCCCTGCTCCCTAAAGATGAAAGCAAGTTCTTTACCCTCTCAGTCTGCAACAGTCCAGAGTGGAAACCTCAAATCTAATGTTTCATGTAAGAGTAGAAATCAGCTGCCTGCTCTTCCAGCCTAGCGGTTTATGCTGAAGTGATCCTTAAAGATTTCTCCCATTAAAATTGGCGCCCAAGCTGTATTAATCTTAATGAGTGCATGATAAACTCTGGAGAGCATTAAAATAGTACCATTTAGATATTAAAATAGCAACATTTTCTGCAAGGGTAGTGAACAGAAAGAGACAGCTGTGATGTGAGACGAAGTGTGTCTACGTTCCCTTCTACGTGTTTCAATGACCTTTAAAAGGCTTTAACAACCGAAGGCCATTATAGAAAAGCAGTGTGTTCAAAGACAGAAGGACGTACACTTGATCACATACTGCAAACTGGACAAAGCTATATAGCCGATTACAAAAAAGGCTTGCCTTTTCAGTGCAGTCCAATCTCCACAGCTCTGATGACTGGTTGTACTACTCTTCAGACTATAACATCCTTTTAGCAGCAACAACAAAGGCAAAAGAATATTTCAAAAATTATTCTTTTCTTTTCTTTTTGTTCTGATGTGTGACTGCTGGTTACAAAACTCTGCCATAAATCAGGGAACCATTTTTTCTTTTGCAGGTTTGCCAGGCAACAGTATTTACTTTTCAGCTAACCTTTCAGTTAAAAACTAAGTTTAGTTGCCTTTAGAGCTTATGCTTCCAAATGTGATTGACCTGATTAATGTCCAACCATATAACCATAATGTTACCATGCATGTAACTTACAAACCTGTTTTTTTCTGTTGTTGTTTTTTAGCTTTTAGGTAATCCATCATCCGCAGGACGGCCTGAAAGGGCGGAGCATGCAGGGCGAAGGTCCTCTCATGGCAGTGCAGTGCCACAAAGGTCTCGACCAATGTTGGTCCCTTCCATTGGTTAGTTGGACAGATTGGTGCATTTCTGTTCTTTGCAGCCTCAGAGTTGGGAAGGTGATCCTTAAAAAAGAAACAACTTGTCTTGAACCATGGTTACTCTTAGTTTAAATGGGATAAAATGGAACTAAAAACATCTCCATCTAAATATGAGTGTATTGGGGTCTCACAGGGGGCTGAATCAGTAGTCATTGACATCACTGGGAGTCTTTTCATTGAATTGGGTGGGTGTTGAAGCTTTTCTAAGCTTGGTTAAGCTTAAGTACTGTCAGATCTTCCCTAAGAAGAAATTATAATGCAGGCAGGCTACTATATGATCAGTAAAATAAATGTACCCATTCAGCCATCCATTCAGCCATCCATCGTTCCATTCATCAACCATCATTTTGCATTCACTTTCCATTTTCTTGACTACTTTTTGGAATTTATCAGGAAAAATGGAAGCTGTTAAATGTAACATGCTAGTAGAACTTGCATATGTTTACTAGATTTGATATTTCTTACAGAATCATCCCTGTTCTGGTTTACTTATGACTTAAACCATATGCTGGTGTATACCAGAAAATCCAAAAAGTAGTGCAGAAAAGATAATGGAATCAAGACACTATGGACAAATACGTATCTGTTAAAACTTGCACTCTATACTGACAAATAAGAAACATTCACACTGCAAATCAGGACACACATGCAAAACAAGTGCAGAAAGAGTTCTGTGAGCTATTAGAAAAACTTTAGTCCATGAAGATGGAACGTTGGTCCAGTTCCTGTCCCTAATCTGGACTTTAATTTGTGAATACTGTAGGCATCATCAGGAGGAGAAGGAAGCAGTGCAAGGCAATTCTCACCTGACACTTATGTGAACAAGAGATGTCACAAATGTGATTTATCAGAAGGACAGGGACTGATCATTAAGGAATGATTTTATTTTTAAATATTTAATATTTTTCCCTTTTCATAGAATCACACTAAAATACCTGTACCATAAATTAAAAGCAAAATCCCCCTAGTGGGCACAATTATTTTGATATCTAATACATATTAATTATTATTATTGAAACCATAGATCAGAAAACACACACAGCTATAATGCGTGAAACTTTTAGTCTCTTCAATACAGCATGACTGGTCAGAGGCCTGACTGATTCTCAGCTCACATCCTGGTGTAAACCAGGATAATCTTCACAGATGTCAATGGAATTACAGTGGTATGAAAATGATATGGGGGAGAATCAGCTCCAGGGAGGCTCTTGTGCTTCTGTTGACAAGTTACTGCTAGCTGAACCAAATAGTTTTCAGATGATGGTGTGACGACTGTTAGATTTTCACGTGCTTTTTCGTTTTCTCTGAAAGCAGCTTTTTTTTTTCTCAGGGGTGAAGATTTATGGTTTATGTTTGGACTACTTAAAGCAAGTTTTGTATCAAAGTTCTTTCTTTTATATTATCTTTTAATTTTTTTTTATAAATAGTGAGAGAGAAGACAGGTTTGTTTGAATTAATCCTTCAGGTTTCCTTTTTAATTTTCATTTTAATTAAAAAAATAAGCGAAGTAATTAAATTTATCAGAGCTCACCTTCTGTCAACAAAGTTAGGACATGGAAACCACTAAGTAATGCTATTAGTTCAATACCAGCAGCTTAAGAATCAGATAAAGAAATTGATTTCTGATAGTCAATGTGTGCTCAAACAGATAATTAGATAGAAAATAAAATCTCGGATTTTATTTCTTTCAGTGTAACTTAGAGTGAATTAGTGTATTTTGTATTATGTACAATTCACAAATGCTCTTTGGGGAAGTTCCATTAGGAATAAATTACAATATTTTATAATGCTGGTAACAAGCAAACTACTGAGCCTTATGTACAGTACCTAACAAAACAAAAAATGATTTGCTGTGAAGCTGCTGAAAGGCCTTTTGTGGTTTAGAGTTCAAGAGTGCTAATTTCTGACTAAAAGACTAGTGATTGAAATTGCTGAAAGATATGTATGCAGTGTTTCTTGCTTTCAGCATCACACTGTAATAAATCACTTTGAGGATAAGTGAAGCAAATATAAACACTTGATAAAACTCTGCACAAAAGTTGTTTCCAGAAAGCCTGCTGGAAAAAAAATCTACAAGATATGAAATGTATCAAGAGTTCAGATAGATAAATAAAATGTGGTAAAAGTAGGGCATCCAGAAGCATATAGTAAAGCATTGTATAAACTTGAACCCACTGTTCAGAACTCCCACCGACAGAGGAAATTTCCCATGAATAAGGGCTGCGAGTATGGTTTTTGAAGAAGGAAGTTATTATAGTTGTCACTATAATATGTAGTCCCACAAAGTGAAAGGCAGAGTAATATAAAAGGAAAGAAGAAAGTAAATACGATTCAGCCAAAGTTTAGACTGCTTAAATACATGACACTTGTTGGGCTCAGCATATAGCTCAAACGTGGATTCCAAATTTCTTGGCAGCAGCTTATTCCTTTACGTTTATGCCTGGAGTTTTTCCTGAGTTATTCAGCTAAAGGGTCACTTTAGTGATGGAAAGTTCTTAAGGCAGCTCTGGGAGGTTAAATTAGTGGGAAAGATCTTCAAAATTGTAATGTTCTTAGGATTCCAGTGATAAAACCTTTCTCCGAAATGTTCTTTGGATAGTTTGGATTAGTATCTTCTTGCAGGTAGGATTTAAGTAAATTAATTAATTTTTGTTTTTAGGTTGATACTTTAGAAGGTGAAACACAGTTTACAGTGCTCTTGACCTTGCAGATCTGGCAGGTAGGATTGTTTAAACCTCATAATAAAAGATGATTCCTATCCAAAGATCTAACAAACAATATTTTCACTGTATGAAATTTAAAAAGCACAAAATTCAGATGCTTTAAAAAAAGGAATTACATATCTCTGTCATTCCCCTGCTGAAGAAGGATTTCTAGAGTCTGAGACATCTGGCAAAGCTTATGCAGTGTTTAGCCTTCCTACTATATGCAAGTCAGACAAAAAGGTAGGCAAAGCCTGCCCGCAGGAGCCTCCGCAAAGGCAACTATACAATATGTTTTAATAGATCATTCCCTTTTTCTCCATAGAAATTACAATGGACAGTAACAGTGAAGGCGGTCGGTCTCGGTCAGGTAGTGAGGGAAATATTTCACCTGTAAAAGAAGAAGCTTATTATCGCAGCATTGGTGGACACAAGAAATGGCCTCAGCAGCGTACCATGGCCTCTGAATATAGATACGGTATGCCGAACATTATTCATCCTTTATGACAGACACATGTTAGAGCTGCGTGTTAACAAGTGCGGTTTCTGTATGACAACATTGCATGCAATGCAGAATGCCAGGGGAACTAGCTCTTAAGTCCTGTCTGCTCTCAGGTAAGTTTCTCCAGCTCAGCTGTAAGGGACAAACAGCCCTTAGTCCTCTGTCCTGAAACTGCTGTGCAGCCACCTTTCCATACTCGACTGAGTCCGAGCACACTGCATTGCATGAACCTCTGTGAAGCTATGCTGCTACTAATGCCAGTCAGTATTTACTGTATACACCTGAACAGCCATTCATCAAAATGACTACATTTCCACTTGATTCATATAGACTGCCCAGGGACAAACGGTAGCTGGTATATCACAACCCAACGTCCTATAATAGGAAGCAGTTACCAAATGTTATTCTGATTTACGGCTTGGGCTAACCGAAGATTCAGGGTCTTTTCGATGACCACGGGGGACTTCGGCTGTGTCACTTGAAGACAAAAATTATTCATTTTTAGGAGCACTTACGTCATAATGACAAAGTTACATGAGTTGAGGCGGTTATACCCACTACTGATAGTATTTGTTACTTCATCAACATAGAAATCATTACATGATCAACAACTCAGTTTTCATAGTTCATAACACAGTGAATTGAAGTGTCTAGCACAAGACATACAAGCAGCCCAGGCCATATATAGAGCTAAGAAACACATCACTGTTTTGTTGAGATCTGAAATGCAAAACTTTCAGGGGCCCTGAAAGTTTAGGTAAATCATAATTTAATGTTGGGTTTCAAAGCAAACTTATCTGGCTGACTTACAACCAGATCATCAGCTTGTGTATATCAGTCTATACCTCATGAATTCAATGCAACTGTGGTTGCACCTATGCATCTGTTGGGGATCTGGCTGGCAGCATCCAAAGATGAAGTTTCTACATACACAATTGTGTGTGTGTATATGCATGATATATGTATATACCTCTTGAAAGAATAAAATAAGTGGGTAATGAGCTAATCAAGAGATTATTTGCTTTCTGGTTCACTGAAGCAAACATGACTGTTCTGAGTCAGATTGTTAGAGGCCAGTGCTTTTAACAGAGATACATTTGGCTGTAATTCATGTTTGCACCTAACCCCCATTTACTGCAGTTGGAGTTGGATGCAAAAATTGATATTTTTAATTTAAAAAAAAAAAAAAACAAACAAAAAACACCTTAACCCACCTGTTTTACATTGCCTGGTGGGCCAGAGTATGAACCACAGAATGACAGCAACCTGGCTGTGGGAAGAGAACAGAACAGAGAAAAATCCCATCCTTTGTGTCCCATTGCTTTCTGTCCCACATGTGCCCTTTTCCCACACTTCCTTTCTGTGCTTTGTGCCTGCCTAAAGCTTCTTGGCTGGAATTTTTCCCTGCCCTTTTGCTGTTCTGCGTTTTTCTCTATTCACATTCTTTCTTGCGCTCTGGACCCAAGAGTTAGTCGCTGTTCCCTTAAAGCTGTGACCCTCTGAAAATTTTTTCTGGTAGTTTAAAAATATCAAATATCGACTAAAATGCATCAGCTGTAGAGGCAAAAAGAGGAATTTTATCCAAAATGTTCCATATTTGAATGTTCAAACTATTAGCAAAAATGGGAGTCATTAATTTGTAAGAGGTGATTACAGTAAAAATTGTATTAATATGAAAATTGTTCAGAAAAATTTTGATACAGTTGAACTATATTTTCATCATACTTCATAACTTCGCTTTCTCAATGTATTCATTGTGAAGGATCATGTAAACTGGATGATGAGTATTGATTCAGCAAAAGCCAAAAGTACGTGACTCCCACTGAAGTTAGCGGGACTTGCACAATAAGCCAAGTTTTTTGAAGTGGCTTATGATTTTTGAAGGCTTTATTTTTTGGTACTTCAACTTCATGTGTCTTGAAAGAGCCTATTTTTTGGGAAAGTGCTGCCACATGCTCCTTCAAAACAAAATTAAAAGCCTTTGAACCCCATTGATCAAAACAGTGTTAGGCATTTTGGCATAATCTTCTAATTCAGTTTTACTGAAGTCCATCCTTAAGTATGTTGTTGAATCATGGACTAAACGCATTCTCCAGGTCATTTGAAAAGTCTGAAAGATGTATGAGACAAAACACCAGTTCTCATTTTTTTTGAGACCAAATTGATTTGGTACCCCACAGTGAACAGAATTCAGTGCACTGTCAAGTGTTGCGATATTCATGGGTGATCTTTCCTAATGAGCTTATGGTTAAATGCAGTCATAGCTAACCGTTCCTCCTGGATTTTAACACATCTTAGTGTTTGGGTTGGTTTGGGCACTGCTGGCTATGTTAACTATTGACTGTGTTTAAACAAAACCATAGGCAGTGTAGTTCCAACCCTGGCATAACTTACACTACTGAAATCTATTTCTTCTTGCCTGTCTGGAGAGAAGAGGTTATAACCATGTTTTAAACCTGGTACCTAAAACATGGTATGTCAACACAGCTGGGATGTGCTTTCTTGTGTCCATGAAGAGCAGAAGCAGCTGTGCTGGAAAACAGGTGGATCCAAAGCATGGTTATTTTTGCAGTAATGATAAAGCCTATCAGACTCATTGTTATGTCACTCTTAACATGCTTCATTAATTTATGGCAAACTTGAGTACACCTAACAATAATTGCTTTCTTACCTGAGCTTTATTCACATGTGTAAATGTCAGTGTGGTGTAGGAGATCAACACCACATTCAGTGCATGCAGATTGTATATGTTTTTTAAAAAAATAACAACTTGCTAATTAAAAAAACCAAACACCAAGCTCAATAGCACATGCATTAAGTTATTGAGTTTTTTCACTGAAATGCCAAACATTTTTCAAATATTAACTGGAATAGTTGAAAGATGAGGCCAACTTTTATTTACTGAATTGTTCTTTTCTGAATTTACCTTCATAGATGGCTATGGTGGTCGTGACCATCTTTCTCCAGATATTTATGAAGAATCAGAAACAGATCCTGGCACAGAGGATATTTGTACTCGAATATTTGTTGCACTCTTTGACTACGATCCACTGACAATGTCCCCAAATCCTGATGCTGCAGAAGAGGAGCTGCCCTTTAAAGAAGGACAGATCATTAAGGTGAGATCTAAAACACATGGTCTCCTTTGTTCCCTATGGAGAAAGCAACTTGTGTGATTAGAGTCCAGGGGTTTTTGCCTCCAGACATTCTGGCTGTAAATCTCACTGGATCTGGAACCTAATATCTACTGCTAGTGGCTTAAAAATAATTAGGTAATGGGCAAAAATCTGAAAGTTGCTATAGATAATTAGGGCCAGACTCAATTAGAGATCTAGGTGCCAAAACCAAAATTGTGACTCGAAAGCCCCCTGTGTCCATTGCCACAAGCCCTGCAGGAAAAACTGCTTCAGAAAGCATTTCTTTCCTGCAAAGGTACCACAAAAGTGCTTAGTGTTGTACCTCCATACATACAGAGCTGCTGTATTTTTTTTTTTAAATGCTGAAGACCCCTAGCTAGTATACACTTAAGATTAATTAAGGTCCAAAAATTAGGTATTTCTCTTCCAGAGTTGTCCTCTTCTGAACCTGGGAAAACAACTCCCTTTTCTGTTTGTTATAAAATACCCAAGCTGCCTTTGAACAGGGCACAGAAGACAAATCAGCCCTGTTTCAGGTGACAGGGACGGTGTGAGGCTCTCTCAATGGTTTCAGCCAGCCCGCTATCCCAGCTTGCCTCATCTTATGATTGTGCAGCTGCAAGGCAAATTTGTTCAGTTTGCTGATCTGATTTTCAAAAGCTAGTGAATTTTTCTGTTGAATCAGCAAATGTAAGCATCTCCTCCTGCAGCCTGGTATCTAACCGATCTGGTGAAAAATGGGCAGAAATGAGAGAGGCAGAAGGAACAGCTGCTGGTAGTCCAACAGTAATTGAGATTTCAGTGTGATCTGAAACAGAACCTGAAAAAAACATACTCATTTGTGACACTACCCATTTCAAAGATAAAATTGTAACTTAAATTTTTAAAATACTGACTGCCTTCCACTGTGTTGGATTGGATCCTAACACAAATGTCCATATCCAAAATCACAATTATTTTAGTGTTAAATACTTTGTTAGATATTTTGCTTACCCCCTTACATGATGTAAGATTCATATGCTAAAAGTATGGAACTTCTTTGAGAGCTTATTTTGATTTGCAAGAATGTTCATTTCACTCAGGTATTTTAATTTTTTCTTCACAAATATGTACATGTTTGGCACTGAAAAGTCTAGAGAGATCCCACATCAGACACTTACTCTCAGTGATCTTTATTTCATATTTGGGATCATGGTGATTATAATGTCACCTGCTGCTTTGAATATCTAATCAAATTGTGAAGATGGATTAGTTTGCATTTTCAAAATACTTTTCGTACATTACCTGAGCAGTGGGATGGTGGAGGATCAGTTCCACCACGAGCTGTATGAAGTCTGTCCCATACATGTGTTACAGTCACATGTGGTGTACTGCGTGAAGTGGCGGTGCCAGGTAAGTTATGGGTATATAGTGATTAAAACTGAAAAACATTGCTCTAGAAAGTTGAGGGTAATCAATGGTCACTTTTAATGAACTCTGATTTGAACTGAAGGGATTAGTTTGGGGTTTTTTGTTTGTTGTTGTGTTGGTTTTGTGTGGCAAGGTTTT